GTGAAATAATATACCAAATATCCTCCTTTCATAATTATGAATTAATTTTTGGTTACATTATTACAATAAGAGTTCCCAATTAACATTTAAAATAAAACAAAACTCCAACTATGATAATATATTGTGCTCTATACGTTTTTCTTTGAACTCATTTTACAATATCAGCATTAAATTTTTCATCTTTCCTTTCAATATTTTGCTATTCGTATATATTTAGAAATAAAATTTTGTTTTCAAAAAAGTCAAGACTGATTTTTATCTAACCTTAAATTACTTTGAAAATATCAAATTTGAGAAATTAATGCAGATGACATTGCGATAGGAAAAAATTATGGATAAAAGTAATTATCAAGGTAAAGCTTTTAGTACAAAATAAATTAAATCTAGTGCATGTAGATTGGTATTGCTTTTACCCTTCGCACATTAATTTGGCGCGCCGAGTTAAAAGAAATTGCCAGTCAAGGAAACTCCCGAGGCAATTCGAATAAACAGCCATTCGCACTGAATGAACCCTTTGTGAGCCTGTATAAATTTCTTTCGGCGCAGAATAATTTTATTAAGCGTAATAAGTTAGTCTGAAGCACACAAACGACTTTCCTCTCTGCAACCAGTGCGCGGATCAACGAGAAATGAGAAACTTCTTCTTCTTGCCCAAAGAAAAAGGAACGCTTGGCAATAATCCACATTGATTAGCTCAATTACTCAGGTCGTGCTTGGAAAATCACTGCAGAGAGGGAATTTTCCCAGCGAAAAATGCATTGCAGCTGCCAGCGAATGAAAGCCTTTCTTTGGCTGACCCATTTCGCCGGCTTTTTTCCAGCTGCGCTGTTTACGGTCCAGTATTTATCTGTGGGGGTGCAGATGTATGCAGCCGGAGGAAACGCCGCGCCCAAGAGTGTATTCCGGCCACAAGCTCATTCTCAACATGCAGCGGCCGGAATTATCGCGGCCAGTGCAACCAGACAGAATTAAAGCGCGTTATTTATTTCTTTCCTCGCATGGTTCACGTGATAACTAGGGATTGGGATTGGGAATCGGATTTAGCCAGACAAGTAAAAGCTGACGGAATGAGAGAGCAAAAATATATTAATTTTACAAAAAAAAGAGTACTTTTCATTTTAGATAAATTATAAATTAAAGTTTTTTATTAAATAGATTATGTTTAATTATAATTAATTTATTAAAATAATTAATCTTTTTTTATATTATTTTTTCTCTTAATATCTTAATTTTGTAAATTTAAACTATTAAAATTTTTAATATTTTACCTAATTTTCAAAATATTTAAAAATCAAAATAATATATAAACATAAACGGTCTTTATTCCAGTTGGAAAATGAATGAAAAGTGAATGCCAGCTATCTTATCCTGGGACATATTTTTTATTAATAATTATTAAATAAATTTTGCTAGCCACATAATTAGAAATTATATCTCATACTTCCTGAATTCTAGAAAATTAATTAAGCGAGATTTTTATATTTTTGAATATCGGCCTTATGGGATTTTATTATTATTTGTATAATTTTATATTACTGTCAAATTATGATGTCATAATCTCATCCATTATATTATCGCCTCTAATTGCAAGCAAACACTAGGTGTCATTACGACATCCTCATTATCGCCGTAAAAGTGTCATTCCGCGAAGTTGACATGAACAAGCGGCCTTGCCCGATCGAGTGTGTGCATTGATCCGTGCCGAGTATTTGCCATTCTGGTATCGCCCAATCTGCTCGGTGTTTGTTGATCGAGCTGCTCTCGTTTCGGCGTTTTCTTTTGCTTATTTCCGCAATGCTCGGATTGATTAGCGCGTTCTGCGTTGTTTTTTAATTAAACATCACCCTCGTGGGAGTAGATAGCTCTCTGTGCTGGGATTAGAGCTCTGTCGGGCCTTTGTTATCGGTCGACCTCTGGCAATAAAGAAATGAAAATGTCGCGCAACACATGTGTGCATCGTCACGCACCGCCCTCGGACAAAACAAAATTTCAATAGCAAAGTTCTGACATTGCAGCTCTACGTGATGTATCCCATGTTTTGGTTGAGGATCATTTAAAAGTACTTTTTGTTATTGATTATTAATTTTATTAAATAGTTAAATTTTAAATTATATCATAATTCATAACAAAATATTTCTGCTTAAAAAAACCACAAACATTAATTAATTTTAATATTTTTTAAACATTGGTAGTATTTTTATTTACGTTTTATATACATTAAATTTTTGTTTCAATATTGTTTTTAATTTGATATTATTTTTATTTTATTTTGTATAATATTTGATTTAATCGATTAAACCAAGTTCATATTTATATGCATTATGAAATTTATAAAATAGAATCAATATATAAGTATCTTGACTGCAAATATTGCAATTGTCAATTTTTATTTGACAAAAGGTTCAGTAAATTTACAGTCAAATGAAGATTCAGCATGCTCCTTGCTAAACAAAAGCTCACCGTTTGTATTTACAAGGCACAAATTAAATTTTTACCAATATTGATCATTGATAAGTTATAATTGTAAGATTCATTAGTGAAATGAAATTCATCGAGGGAAAGAATCACTCATGCAAAACCAGAAGCGATTTTACAGGTTTTTAAAGAAACTACTAATGCGATTTTAACCTGTTCTTAAATTTTGTAGCCCATGCAGCGCCCGTAAAATAAGATGACTGGCAAAAACGAGACTTTTTTAAGCAGCTTGTCGAGCACTTCTGCTTAGCTGGCTGCAGATATGCCAGGCTGAGTAACTCGTTTGCTCCCAGTTTGAACATTGCGCGATTTATCACTTGCAAAGTTGCACCAGGAGTAGAGATTTGTTCATTTTGTCCTTTTATTAAAACCAATTAATTGAAAGTTCACATTCTAAACTTTGGGAACGCACCTGCATTATTGTTTCATCCATCAATAATGCAGAAAAATAAAAATACAATGTAATTAATGATATTTTCCAGTCACATTAAAAACTGTTTTTAATCATTTATCTGGGGAAAAACATTTAAAATCTATATGGAACTTCAATGCATGCAGATTAAATGAAATTTTTTCTTCACTTAAAACTTTGCTCTTATTATATTTAATATTCAGTGATAAATAAAAAATAGAAAGTAATGTTTTGAATATTGTTTTGGGTACGAAGTGAACATCATTTAAATGAGGTCAATAAAGGTATAAAAATGGGCTTGTTAATCAAGCCGGCCCACACTAGATTCTTGATGTTCACTGAGCTGCGCTCTATTTTTTGTGTTCAGAAAGGAACAGAAGGTCGCGGTCGCGCAATCCAGTTTTAAGAGCACTCCTTTGCGTCTTTTGTAAAAGGTGCGCGGATTCAAGAGTGCGGGACCAACTTGTCAAATTTGACACTTACCCACCAACTTTTCCTCACGTGTGTTTATGTTGTTCCCTGCGAGGTTGAATTGAAAGTGAGGCCAAAGGGCGCTATTAACTAAAAAAAGACCATCGACGTAAGGCAAATTTAAGAATAATTGTGAAATAAATTATCAGAATTGCGAGAACATGTAGATTTTATCTTTTGAATCTCAGCGGGCATATGTATTTTAATGGTTGGTGCTAATGTAATAAAACACCGCTCACTCTCTTTTTAAAATTGCGCTTTGTTTTAGCTCACAAAATCGGTACTCAACCTTCGAGACTCGCGGTGTTGCTTGAGACTTTGTTTAATTTTGTCAACGGCGCGACAGTTGAGGCAACACCATCTGATATACTTAATTTTTTTTATTAAAGCAAAAATTTAAGTCAATAAATTAAAATTGATGAATTAGAAATCGGTCCATGAAATTAATTAACAGTAAAAATGAAAGGACGCAGTGCTTATAGGAAATATTTTTTTTGTAGCCTTAAAACAATGTCAGGAAATTGATTAAGAAACAAAATACAATTTACATGTTTTTTTTTCACCACTTAATCAAGTGCTGGATTGACCTTTTCTCATGATGCTCAACCTTGCCTTTGCATATGTGCAAGGAAATCGCACGACCGCGTGAGCATTAAAAATATGTAATACTTGCCAAAAGCTTTTAATCTATTGATAACAAAAAAAATTCCTCCGGGTTATAGATTGACCTAGAATAGATCGCCCATGTTGAAAATAATTAGTGCACAATGCCACAGAACTAACTATCTAGTGCTGCGATGGGGCTAAGGATTTGCAGTGTAATTATGCTGACAATATAAAATGTACGCATAGCATGCTTATTTAATGTTTAGTCTTTTGGCACAAGTTTAAGAATAAAAAATGCCATGGTCAGGTTAGTTTCCCAGACACATTTACAATTTTTTCTGCCTTTAGAGGTTGAAAGATTAATTCCTAGCTAGGATAATGACTACCATTGTGAAATTATTATTGTCTTTATTAAACACAAATGTGCACAAACGTATTGCTGGTTGAAATCAATAATAGATAACTAAATTTAAATATAATATCATTCAAGTTTTATTTTTGTAGCATATTCAGTGAGGGGCTTAACACTTTTTGAACAATTAAGGAGGTGATACTGGGAAATCTCTTTTTCGTCACAAATTTTACATACACAATTCGCTCTCTCAGTATGGAAAGTTCTATCTCAATTTGAAATGCAAGGAAAAATTTCAAGAAAATGGTGAATAAAAACATGATTTTTATATTATTCCATACAAAAACCCATTGTACTTTAATTTTTTTCAATTTTATAATAAGCTCGAGCTCTGAACTCTTTAAGAAAAAAAGTGTGAGTTGTAAAATTAGTTTTTTAAAGGAAAAAAGTTATTAAAGAAATAAAAATAAAATTTGTTCCGTGCATGTGCAAAATTGGCGCAGATCATCGTTGTATATAAATATGTGATTTATGTGATTGATAAATGCAAACAAGCTTCACAATGGGATCCAGGCGGCTCACCTTGAACTGTTTAACGCAAGATCCGCACGGGGATAACGTTAAAAAAAAAAATGCTCTTAAATTGGTCAGCCCGATTTTTGCAACTCGCAAACACTGAGCAGTCGTTGCTGGCAGTGGAGCCATGAAGCGCGCACTAGCAATTTTGCTCTTCGTGATAATCGGATCGAAAGAAAGCGAGAGTGAATTTCTGTCCCATTACATCCGACCTGATTTGCTAAATGAAAATGCGACCTGTCGAGCGGAAAGTGAGATTTTGCTCAAAGGAATTTCCAATCTCGAGCTCTGGGCCTTAGAACGTAAGTTTATTTCTTTTTTAATAATTTTTAAATTGCGTCACATTAATTAAAATTTATTATATTTAAGTTCTGGATTCGAGTTCAAAAATTCAGTCGGGAATTTTATCCAGCAACATAAAAGACTATGGAAATTTTGACGAATGCGTCAAAATTCAAGAAAATAATAGTTTGAGAGGAAAGTACTGTCTTGCTCATATTCACATAGAAGCAATTGAACCTCAGCTCTCTGTGAAAAACAAACTCATCGACTTTGTGTCGTACGGGAGACGCCACGTTGAAATCACTCATAATAGGACATTGAATAATGTGATGGTAAAAAAATTAGTGTGACACTTATCGAAAGATAATTTCAGGCGTGTTAATCAATTTAGGTGCCCGATCATCTCCCATCTTTAGCACTTTTCCAGTCAGCGTTTTGCCTTCCATCGTCTTGTCATTCACAGGACTTAGAAATCATGTTAAATGCCTCCTTAAAGGAAATTGGAAATTCTCTCGGTCTCAAAATTTACTCCGAAGTATTTGAGGAAAATTGTTACGCAGAAACAAATCAACCTTGGAGCAATGGACAGATAATTTTCTTGTAAATTTTTCAGGCAGTAAACAAAAATTTAAAAATTAAACATTTTGTTTTTTCAGGATTTCTCTTTTCTCCCTCCTGATGGTTGCGGCGCTTGCTACTGTTTTAGAGCAACACCTCATCACACAAACGAGTTTATATAAAAATATTATGTAATATTATTTTACAGTAAATATTTCCGTTTGCAGAAAAAACTGACGAAACTTCTCTACTGGATTCATTTATTGAAAAAGGAATTCTTCCATTCGAAATTTCAAGAAATTGGAAAAAAATGACCAGGCAAGTTTCAAAGGATTCGATGCGAAGCATGGACGGTATTCGCGCTTTTAGCATTTATATGGTTGTCGTTTGCCACTGCGCCCTATCCAACATGGTGCTTCCCTTCATGAACAATAAAACTATTATAGATGTAAGGAACTAATTTCAAATAATTGGATTAAATCTTATTAAAAAAAATTAACAAAAGTGGGCAAATCAAGAGATTTACCTACCTTTGTATCTTTCCTTGTGGAGTGTCGATTCTTTCCTTCTGCTCGGAGGCGCCCTTAGAACCTATAACATGTTGAAAGAACTCAATGAAAAGAAGTTCAATTTCTTTGTCGACTTTCTACAAAGATACTTCAGGTATTAATTTTTGTTTATTTCTTAATTTAATTTCAAAATTATTTTTAATTTCAGATTCACCATCCCACTTTTAGCAACAATTGGTTTCTATACAACTTTATTTGAGAAAATCGGCAGTGGACCAACTTGGTACAAAAGTGTCGTAGTGAACAAAGAACTCTGCCAAAAGAATTGGTTTTGGAACATTCTCTATATTAATAACATTGTCAACACAGAAGATTTGGTAATTAATAATATGGAAAATAGCAACAAAAAAGTTTTAAGAATAAATTTTCAACAGTGTATTGTCCAGTCCTGGTACTTGGGAGCGGATATGCAATTATATTTAGTGGCTCCGGTTGTAATTTATGTACTCTGGCGGTGGCCGACAATTGGAAAGCAAATATTTACACTCGTCTTTTTGTTTTCAATGCTAATACCCGCAGCGACTGTTTATATGACAAGACCGGCGCCATTATACGCGGCTTCCTACTCGTAAATTAACCAAATTTTAGCTTGTATCGACTAAAATTAAATTGCAGTGACCAGCAACTGATGGACTACATTAGGTGGCTCCATTATTTCACCCCGAACCGAATCTCACCCTACATGGTCGGCATCGCTCTGGGTTTTGTTTTGTGGAATGTGAAAAGCGGAGGAGCCAAAAAACTGTCAAAGGTTTTAATTTTTCAATTAAATATTTTAAAAAAGTCTATAAAAATTTACATTATTTGCAGGAAGTAGTATGTCTGTTCTGGATTTTGTCTCTAGCCTCGATATTTGTGGCTTTGTACGGCGCTTTTAAAGTTTTAGACCCGAGCTACAAATATAATTTGATCGAGATAATGATTTTCGCTGGACTGCATAAAGCTCTGTTTACATTCTTCCTTGCGTGGATTATTTACGTTTGCGAGAGCGGTCGTGCAGGTAAAAAAAAAACCAGAGGAAAAAACATTATTTTTTAATAATAAAATTATTTATTGATTTCAGAATTTTTAAATAAATTCCTTTCATGGTGGCCGCTCGCTTTCATCAGCAAACTTTCCTTCAGTATATTTCTGACGCATTACATTGTGCTGAGTTACATGGAAGGAACTACAAGACACCAACGCTATTTCGAAATCGTCCAAAATGTAAAAATATCGAAACTCAGCATATTTCTTTTATACTTAAATATTTTTGTTTGTTTCAGACGCACTTTTTTGCAGGGAACTTTGTCTTCGTAACTATTTTGGCGATGCTTTTCTTTTTACTGGTCGAGGCACCATCAAGATCATGGGTGAATTCATTGTTTGCACAAAAATTGAAAAAATAACTATGTATGTAAATTAAATAAAATTAATTAATTCTTTTTATTAAATACCAACGGTATACAGACACATACATGAATATTAATTGTTTATGCATATAATAATAGTAAAAACTGAAGAGGTAGTAATTGCACTAAACTTTCATAGAAGCTGCTTTAGTTAGTGTTAAGTCACTCTTTTTACATTCGAATAGGTGATACATTCCAATTTGTTCACCACATTTTATACATTTACAGTTTTTGTTTGCTGCACAGTGGTAATCTTTATTTTCACATAACAAATGATGAAAACCATGGCAAGCATACCTCGTAAAAAGGTGCCGATCTTTAAAGTTAGTCTCTTTCCATTTATTTTCAGTCATTGCAGGAGTGTTGTAAAATTGTGGGTCGATTTCTGCATTTGTAACATTTTTTACATTTTCGGTTGGTAGCGCCAGCCGGTTAACAACACAGTATGTGACCCGGGTCACTTATTCATCAATTTCAGCTGGAAAATCAAGCCTGTGCGACTTCTAGACCTAAATCACTGACGGAGAAGTGCACCGGCCTTCAAAATTTCTGTAAGCCAAAATTTTTCGCACCCTGGATTCGGGCCAGGGTGCATGCAAAATTATCCAGCATGGGGCCAAGGCTATGGGGTCCAGGTAACTCCGAGGACCATGGAGGGGCCGCCTCATAGCCTCAACGGAGCGCACCCTGACCTGCATGCGTCCTGCAGACATGAAATTCACATTCTCCGGCAAAAATTAAATGAGGCTTTGGCGAAATTAGGGCAAAAAGAGGACGTCGGTTATCAAGTACAAAACCGGTTCTCAACACAGAACGAACCGGTTCCATGCGAAAACACCGACAAATATCCACTGCTGCCAACTACTTTGCCACTGCTGCCACCTAAATTACCACTGCTGCCAACTGGAATATCACCTGAAATTCCACCCCTCACAACTCAGGGCGACACACCCCCTAACCAGCGCCGCCAGCGGCCGATCCCTCAAACTCCAACTCAAACGCAAGTACTGGGTAATAGCCCGCCAACGACACAACTCCCTCCTGCACCCCCCACTCAAGCTCAACCAAGGCATCGTACTCTGAGCCAGTTTGAAAAGCAATACAGAACGACTTGTCGAAGACTTGCTCGAAACAGAAGGTCGGGTTACATTCCATTAGACTTGAGGGATTCAAAGTGTGAAATTGTTCAGATTGAAGGTGATATTCTGAAATCCAACGTTCAATTCAAGGCTCACGCAGTTTCGGCGGAACTCAAATGTGGTCGCGGGCTTGCAGCAGAAGTTGTGAAATCTGTTGGTCGCCCCGCTCTGAAAGGCAAACGGGCGCAAATTGGAGATGTGCTGCCAGTTGAAAGTCGAAACGGGTCAACATGGCTTTTTCTTGTCACGAAAGAATGCTTCTGGCACAAACCTCGGCACAACTTTGATCAGTTTGGCAAAGATATTATCTATGCCATCGAACAGTTAGCTGGTTTCATCATAGGAAATAAAATCAAAGAAATAGCTATCCCTCACCTGTGCGCAGGTTTAGATCAGATGAATTGGCTTTACGTTCGAGATGTAATTCACCACTTCCTCAAAGACGTGGATGTAAAAGTCAAGGTGTACCATCTACCAAGAGGGTACCCAAGGTCACCACGAACCCACCTTCACCCATCACTTGCCATCAGGGAGGGCTCCAGTTACTCCGAAAACGGACAGATGAGCTACGAGGAACACTTTCCAGCTCTTCAATCACCTACTGCTTGGTCCACACCAACTGGACGAAAAACTAGGCTCGATCAGTCAACTAGAGAGGGCCCAATGCTTTCCACAGCACCAACACCTCCTCCCCCAGGAACAACACCTTCACAGGACTCAATTGTGACCTCCCGTTTAGAAAACAGTAACAATGTTTCAGTTCTTATCGCCATCGAAGAAGAAGAGAAAGTGACATGTGTGAACCAAAGTGGAACGGTAAGTGGTACCGATACCACATCAAAAATCCCAAATTTTTAAACTGCCCTGAAATAAAAAATGTTAAAAATTTAAAGTTGTTATTGTGGAACATTGAAGGCCTTAAAAAGATGTACGAAGATTTTGGCCAGTATAACTTTCACAACTTTGATATTCTTATATTAACTGAAACATTTCTTCTTGAAGAATTCTCTATCCCGGGCTTTTATGGGAAACACATTCTTGGCACTAGAAACGAAAATAATCTGGGAAGGCCAATGAGAGGCATTGCTGTATATTATAACTCTAAGGTTGGCACTCTAAAAAATTATAAGCAAACAGAAAATACTCTCATTTTAAATTTTGAATTTCTCTCAGTTGTAGGAGCGTATTTTGAACCAACCTTAAATGAAGATGAAATTTGGGAGGAGTTAACAGACTCATTTAATCTTGTGGAAAATCGGGAAAAGTTAATCTATGCTGGAGATTTCAACTGCAGAATTGACAAGAAAAATAAAAAGGGAACTTTGATCCAGGATTTTGGAGAATTTAACGACCTAGCTCTGGCTAATTCAAGTCCTTTACAGAAAACATATGTCTCAGAAAAAGGGAGTAGTGTCATTGACTTAATATTCGTGGGTCAAAAAATCAAAAGAAAGAACTTTCTTATTAGTGACTCGTATCTGAGAAAGCATAGGTTGACTTCTCTTGAATTTCAACTATGGGACAAAATAGAATACCAGTTCCACAATAATGTTCGTAGGAAAGTAGATTATGACGTGTTGGAAAACTTGCTTGTAAATAAATTTAAACAAGTACTAAATACTGACTTAGAAAATAAGAATTTTAGTAAATTTTATGATGATATTTTACAGCTTATTGACGCTTCGAAATTTGATAACGTTAGGTCGCCACGTAAAAGTCAACCATGGTTTGATAGTGAGTGCTACTTATCTCGTCAAGACCTTAATTTCCTAAAAAAATTTATTGATTCATTCTCTCTTACTTGTGATCATGCGTCCGAAAAAAGTGAGGTTCTCAATATTTTTGCTCAAGCGAAAAAGCAATACAGGCGACTAATTCGATCAAAAAAGAAATCCTTTGCGGAAAAACAGGAAGAAAAGCTTCTGTTAGAAGCTGAAAAAACGTGTTATAAATTATTAAGGTTAAATAGAAATTTAATTTATAAGGAAAATGATATTTCCATTAGTACATGGGAAGAAGAGCTCAGCAATATTTTCAATGTTAAAAAATGCTTACCTAGAGAATCACTAAATCTGAAAAGATTATTAGAAAATTATCCACGATCAATCCATATGAAAAAGATTTTGGAAGCTGAGGTATCCCTTGCAATCCAAAAACTTAAAACTAAGAAAGCAACGGGATTTGATCTTTTGAGCAATGAGAATCTTAAAGTTCTGTGGCTTCACATTGCACCTGAGATTACGGCATTTTTTAATCTCTGCCTAGAAACTGGCTCTTTTCCTGAGCCGTGGAAATTTGCGAATTTAAAACTATTATATAAGGGGAAGGGAGATTTGTCCGATGTAAATTCATATAGAGGAATTAGTTTAAGTTCCACCCTGTATAACTTACTAGACAGAGTGCTGAATAACAGAATATACTCATATCTAATAGAGCTCATTCCCTCTAATCAATATGGTTTTGTTAAACACAAGGGTACGATACCTGCTGTGTGTAAACTGTTAAATGAAATAAATGATAGTGTTTATGTTAAAAAGAAACCATTGTATGCCATATTTTTAGATGTAAAGAAGGCCTTTGACTCGATAGATCGAACCTTCATATTTGAGAAATTGATTGCATCCAACAAATTTACTTTCGAAGAACTGAATCTGTTAGCAACAATGTTGGACCTCAATTATTTGCAAATAAATGACGGAGTGTCGTTGTCAGAAACCATAACACAATCAAATGGAGTCCGTCAAGGTGGATGTTTATCACCGTTCCTATTTATATTTGCAATCAGTGATTTTAATGATGCAATACTAGAATTCTTAAATGTCAAAGCAATCCTATATGCTGATGATGTTGTGTTACTAAGTGAAAACTTAGAAGAATTGAAAAAAGCAATGGTAAAAATTGAAAAATTTCTTGCAGAAAGAAAACTTCAACTTAATTTAGGAAAATGTAAAATTATAAAATTTAGAAATAAGGGTCGAGGCAGATATAAAAAAGATGATTCTCTGATGATAAATGGTCAGTCAATTGAATTTGTCGCAGAATTCTCCTACCTGGGAGTCATTTTTCAATCATCAGGCAATACCTTTACAAAACATATTGAAAAGAGAGTCAAATCTGCAATCTTTGCAATCTCGAAACTAAACTCACTAGCAAAATCGTCAATTTCAGCAGGAATTAAGCTATTCAACTTGGCTATAGCACCAATAGCTAGTTATGGAATTGAGGCTATTTGGCCATTTTTAAGCCAAAATGACCTTATTAAACTTGAGACTGTTAAATCAAGATTTTTAAAAAAGCTTATGTGTCTTTCCAAATATACAAAATCGAGATATGCATATGAATTAGCATGTACAAATTTACTCATTATTGATCTCTGTAATACATTCTCGTTAACTAACACGACTGAATACGAGAATTTCCTAAATGTAAAAAAATTAAATAAAATAAGTAATATATTTTTTTAAATATCAAAATCTGCATCTTACTTAACAAGACCAACAAGACCATATTGTATTTTACATCCCATTTAGTTTGAAAGAGTAATTATTAAGCGTACGTGGCATAATTTTTCTACATTTTTACAATTTAAAATGCTGCTTCCAGCAATACAATTATTCTAATTAATATTATTAAATATTCAAATAAGTTCGTATTTTTACCGCTGTCTTTTCTGTTCCAATTTTTTTTTGTCTAAAATTCTTGACGCCGGTTTTACGCTTTCAAAATTGTTTGTCAACCAAACAAGCCGCAGTTTACAAATCTTAGTCAGCCCTTTGTGGCAAAACGTCAAACGAATAAATCGTGTGTATACAGAATGGTCGTTTTGCACACACAAGATAAGAGACCGTGAAATGCAAAGCAATTATTGTGTGGCGGCTCATTATTTTCGGCCGTTACACATAGATAAGGGTTTGTCTCCTTGGCGAGGGTGGTATAGACAACACGGTGGTCCATTAAGTGACAAAAACAAAACGGACGCGCCCCTAAACCAAATTGGACTCAAGCTGTGCGCACCCTTTTTGCAATTAGTGACCTAACAGGCTCTGATGGCTGATCAGACCTTCGCCATGTGCGTTCTGACAGAACTGCGCATCTATAACGAAAAAAGGCTGATCGGATTACTTTGTGTGTTCATCAGTGCAGCCCTCTAATTTGGGTCGAAAAGTCAGCCCGGCAGATACAAGGAAACAGGAGCATCATTGAGATCAAAACACTCGCATACTGACAATTATTAAAAGCTGAATGGTTAATTTAATTTACCATAAAGATATTTCGAATGCAAATCTGGCAAATCTAGCATACTTAAGTTGAAAAAGGGTAGGCGAGGAAGAAAAGTTGAATGTTTTTCAAATTAGAAGGTTTAGTTAATCCATTAATTATTAATATTTTTACAGAATCTACAAGAAAACAAAATTTTTAAAGAAAAAGGATTTATTTTTTATTTTCAAGTAACTAAATCAGTAAATTATTGTTTGATAAATATTTATAAAAAAATTATTTATTTTACTAAAATCAATAAAAAAATCTAAAATTCACAATAAAAACTTTATTAAAGTAAATTACAATAAAACTGATTAAAGCATATTGAACTATTTCAAATTTTTGTATATAACTTGAGTAGAATAAACATCAATAACCCTTTAATAAAAATTTAATTCAATATTATTTTTCCATTTTTTTTTTCTAAATATTACAGCAATTTTTATAATCGTTACAGAACTTTTGGCACACACAAAATATTTTCATAATAAAAATTAACTTAAATTTTCTGCATGCTAACTTCTGCTTTGTGCTTGTCTCAATCAAACAAACAAACATTTCAAACTGCTTGGGAGCATAAATCTCACTACCTGCTTTGAATGCCACATACATTTGTTTTGTGTTTTGTTACATGCAATTTCAACAAATTCTTTTAGAAAAAAAAAACACCTGTATAAATTCCTACCTCAACAAGGTTGTACCACTTCATTAGTCAGGAATTTCTTTCCATTGAACTTTCTGCGCACTTTCGAGACAAAAAAACACGTGATTCGAATCGAAATTCTGAACCGCCTTTTTAGTCTCTTAACCACTTATCGATTTCTATACTTGTCCAAACAACAACTGAATATAATGGCAATAAAAAGATTTGAGTTACTCCAGGAGTTGGAGAGATAAGATTAATCGCACATAAAAATCCTCTCTTATCACAAAATTCATATTGTAAAGAAAAATACACACTGGTCGAGAGGTTGTAAACCTGTGGCTATATTTTTATATACAAAAAGAGCCGGTGTGGCCTGTTGGTATCAGCCTGCAGAAATGTGAAATTTCGAAACGAGGGAGATAGTGAAGCGCGCCTCACGCGTGCTGCATGTTTGCAGAAGCACCGTGCTCTGGGGCCCTCATTTTGCATATATACGCATTCAGAGTTCGGACCAGTTTTAACGAGGAAAATGTGTTTGCCTAATGATGAGATAACACCGTGCACATATACCCGTTGGCAAAATCGAAAAATGTTTGGAAAATTTGCACATTTAAATGTAGAGTAGAATTTTGACGGATTCTTAAAATTTCTGAACATTAAAACTTCCTTGGGAATATATTTCAAAAACAATTTAAACAAATAGCGCTGGTTAATTAACTTTTTTCTTTTATATATAATAAAGTTATTTAATAAATTATTAATTTAAATATTATTATTATTTTAATATTATTTATTTTAATCTAAATATTGTTTGTTAAAATAAAAAAATATTTTAAAAAAATTTAGAAAAAAATCAATATATAACAAACAAAAAAAAAAACACTGATTCCATTAATTAAACACTGAAAAATAATATAATGCATTCATTGCTTAATTTAAAAATCTATAATATTTTTGCCTTGTTACAGTTTTAAACTTTGTTAGTCATCACCTCGTAGACTACATGCAAGCAAAACCGGATTTTTTATTAGAACTAAAAAAAAATACATATTAAAAAAAAAATCATTAAAGGTCGCAGGCCAACAAGAATGTCTGACCCTATAAAAAAAAGAGAAGCTAATAACAAAATGAAAAGAATGAATGGAAAATTTACATGATTTATCTTTCTAATAGTATAAGTAATAATCAAAAGGATTCTATTTTATGATTGTACGGTGATGCGTCACCGTCGAGGCCCGCCGTGTTTTCTCATTTCCGTTTGCTCTTTTGCGCCTCGCCCTGATGTTTTTCCGTTTTCCAGATAGAACCGCGCAGCATCACGCACTCATCCAACCTTCGCAGCAAATCCTTCACAAAATCGGAAAACGCGCATTGGGAAAAAGAGCCGTGGCCTATATTTTTCGACAATGTCACGCGACCCTCGTTCCTTGTGACCGACACGAGCCACTACAGTTCCAGCTTGTGTGAAAGTGACATGTTGTGTGAACTGCGCGAGACGTGTCATCGAAAATTCAATTGTTGCGTTTATAAACTTTTTTAATGACGGTCGGACGGAGCAGCAGCGTTTTTGTCAAGAGATGAAATTTAAGGTTTGTTGTTGTCGTAAGCTTGGCAAGCAATTAAAAAATTCTTTTCTTCTAACAAATTGAACAATTCTGTTGGTGAATGTCGTTTACCCCGGCCTTCAGCGTACTGAGAAAAGCAATGAAAGCATGGCCGCAGTTTAATAAATTCAAAAAAATTAATTGAAATAAAAGTGAAATATGTGCGCAGTTTAAATTCATAATTATTAATGATCATGGATTTCATCTAAATCTGTTATTTTTCCATTTTAACAATGAATACTTAAACCATGATAGAATTTATTAAGCTAAATTGATTATTTAATAAGAACTGTAAATTAATATATCTTACTGGTTACCAGAAAATTTCATTTTGCAACTTAACAATAACAACATAATTTCAATTAAAATACAAAGAATATGTCAGACAGTTTTAGATTATAAGAATTGAATTGGAAAATAGTGCTAAGATAAATTATGAATAAGAAGTTTGTAGCTAAATTGTGTGTTTTGTTATTTTAAAAACAAGTAAATGAACAACATATTCATTATGCTAAAAGTAAATTTCACTTATTCTTTTATTCATTATTTCAAGAACTAAATAAAAAAGCTCACGAGGGAAGAAAGAACCAAAAAAATTATAGTTATATAATTTAAGAACTCGTTCAAATCCCTTGCCCGACTGAAAAATAAGCTATTTTGCGATCGGTATCTCGGCAAAAGAAAATCCTCTGGGACAAAATTTTACATCAAAGGATTGCGCGCTCTTAGGGTTGAGTATAAAGACTTGCTGCTTTTTTGTTGTTTTGTGAAAGCGTGGCACAGGATGCTGTGCCTTTAAAGGAGAAAAGAGCAAAAGCCATGTCTATAATTGAACCCAATAAAACGGCGGTTCACAATTTTCCGGTCATGCACCGTCTGGAGCAAATATAGAACTTAATTGTTCTCATCGATTAATTTTATCTTTGTCAGGCCAACGCACTTTTGTAAAGTACGGCTTTTAGCAAGATTAAAAAAGTTACAAAGTAATATTTCTTGTTTAGCACAAGTTTCTTTAAAAAGAACTTTAAAACAACAAGATATTTGTATCCCAATTTAAAAAATTAGTGAAAAGCAATTTACATTTAAAAGCGCAAGAAAAGATGTCTACTGATACATTTTTGGGCTGGATCAGCACATTTTCATGAAGATAATTGTAATATTTATTTTTAAAAGGTGAGGGAATTATGAGAATATTTAATTTTACTGACTTCTTTTTTTCGGTGTTGCCGCCACTTCATTTTTCACACGTGAAACCGCGAGATTGATGCCATTACTATTCAGCCGAGCGCAAAAAAAAACATCTCGCGCTGTACTTAAATTACATATCCCTCACTGATTTGTTTTAATCCTCCGAGGCAACCGGTTACTTTAATAAAAAAAAAAATGTTCCACCAGAGTGTTGCATTTTGTAAGTTACATCAGCGAGTTGCATTGGAAACAAAAAACCAACTCATTTTAGGTCTTACTTAAAATTAAAATGAAGATTTTCCATGCATAACGTATTGAGTGAAAATGAGTTTTTTTCCAGTAGTCCAAAAATTTAGCAAATTTCATCGTTTACCTGTTAATAATTGCTTAGAACATACTAAACGCCACGGTAGTTCGCCAAATGTCATTTTATTCAAAGCACCATGCCCAACCATTATTCAAAATGAATAAAACTCCACGCTGGTTTGAAAATCTGCGACGATAAAGGTCACGAGCGTGTGTGGGGGTCACAAAATGTTAACGATGCTTACTCTAGACTGTCCATTAAATACCTTTATTATTAAACTTTTAATTATTCATATCATTTCAATATTTTATGCGGCTGCTAACGCAAATTTAATGTGGATGTTCCATCGTGAAAGTAGAAAAAAAATATCAACCTTAAATTAAAATATTATTAAATAAAATGTTTGAAATTAATAATTTTAGATAATTAAATCACTGATTGTAAAAAAAAATAAAAATAAAAAAAACTATTCGTTTACTGAAATCAATTAAAATTAAATAAATAAAATTTTTGCCTACAATTTTAGCAAAATTATTTTACCAAAAATATTTTCTGCTGCAAATTAATATGTATTGTTAATTTTTTTTACGGAATTAAAGAAAATTCTGCTAACAATAAGTAATGAAGTTTGTGATATTCAACCTAGACTATGCTTGCTATGCACTAAATTGCGGGCGCGATCAGCGCGATGCACGTTAATGGCGCATTAAAATTCCTCAATAAAATGCAATAAACTTCCACAGACCTGCTTGTTGTGGGTGTTGGTGTCCTCGCTGCAGCTCAAGGGCTCGTCTGCGCAGGAGGACGAGGCCAACCCGGACTCCGAGGTCGAAGTCTTCCTGCCGTCCTTGGCCAAGAAACTGGCTCGTCGACGCTCCACCACGCGCAAGCAGCCCTCGGACTTGGAGGAGGCCAGCAGCACCGAGTTCCCCTCTCTGCATGACTCACAACCCCCGAACCGCCCTCCCGACGCGAGTCACGCCGGACAAGTGGCTGTGGTCAACCTTGGGTTTGGGCAACAAGGCCAAAGACGCAGACAACAGCAGCAGAGGCGTCGCAATAACCTTAATAGAAACAATATAAACTCAAATAATAATGCAGTGAACAGTTTGGTGCCACTCAACGGCACTCAAGTCCCTACACAACGAAAGAATAATCCAAATAATAAGCGAAATAAACAAAGAAACCAGGTTAGTTAGTTTACTTCAATGTAAGCTATTTTTATTATTTTTAAATTTTTATATTCTATTTGTTTATTGATTAAACCATTTATTTAATTCAAAATTTTTTAATAATTTAGTTTAATATGAATATTATAATATTTAATAAACTTTAATTTCTTTTTTATTAATATTTTTCTTTTTTCGATTATTTAAAATTAATATTAATTATTTAATAATTTTAATTATCGATTATTTAAATATTTAAAATTTTATTTTATTTTAAAAATCTGTTATTAGTTTATTTTTAATAAATCAAACAGTAAAACTCTATCAATTTGATGACATATTTGAAATTAAAATATAAATTTTAGTAATGTAAAAAGGTATCTAAAATAATAATTTAAATAAAGGTATGTGATGTGATTTAAAATTACCTAAAACCTAAACAAAAACTTCTATCAACTTATCTAATTTGATTTAAATTTATAAATTTTTTATCAAACAGGTTGGCATTTTGGTTGCGGCGCCACTGAACAATCGGAACAGGCCAAGATACCAAGTCATCCGACCTGCAAGGCGTCAGCAGCAGAACAAGCGGCGCAAAAATAATCGCCGTCGGAATCAAAACAAAAATAATAATAATAACAATCTGGGTGTCTTCGGCGGTCAGCAAAACTCGGCAAAACTTCCCGTCGCTCAACCAGAGCAGATGGATCCGACTTATACATACAATATTAATAATCGCTACCCCAATAACAATCCATACCCTATTAACTATAATCCTGTCCAGGGCAGCAATAATAATTATCCCTCCCCTGGCAATTATTATCCTCAGAACAGCAACCAACCTTATCCTTACAGCAGAGGCAATGACATGCCAGTTAATCCTAATAACAACATTAACAACTCCCCTGTTCAGCAAACAAATTGGCCGCCACCGGCACCACCAGATGTGCCGGTTCAACAAGCAACTTCTTCTTCACCGCCAAGTCCAGTTGAGACCACAACAATAAATAGCATCATTACAAATATTCAAACTGAAAGACAGTTTCCAGCTTACTAAAAATGTTCAACGCTTATGAAGTGCGTCAGAAAAAACGAACCTTGAATAAATGATAAACTTTTAATATTAAAATATTGCACTTTTGGCTTCTCAATAAAGCTCTGTATTATTTACGATTGAACAAGCAGATGGAATTTAAAAAGCAACGCACAAATGAAATTAAAATGCAACATAATTTGGATATTCAAATACTTTTAAGGACAAATAATAGGAATTTTCAAAAATTTGGACTATCGTAACGAGACCTCCAATAAATGATAAACTAAATATATTTAAAGATTCCAATTTTGGCTTCTCAATAAAGCTCTGTACCATTTCCGATTGAACAAGCAGCGGATGGCAATCAAAAAGCAACGCAAAAATGAAATTAAAATGCAACGCGTTTTGGATATTCAAAATACTTTTAAGGACAAATAATGTGAAAATTCAAAATTATGGACTAGCTATCAAAAATTAACCTGGAATAAATGATAAATTAAATATTTAAAGATTATTTCTTTAATTAAGTTATATTATTTCTGTAAACAAGCAAGCAAAGACATCAGCACTGGTAGCGAGCTCTTTTGGATGGAGAGTGACCAAGCCTGTGGTCTCTGCTGGTGCCACTGCCATCCTGCAGGTCTTCGTCCTCTAGATCAACAATGACAATTTCAGTTTCGTTGACACTCATCAGCTCTGCATGCACGATGTTGTTGGGAAGTCCGGCCAACACGCCTTGATCAGCACTTTCCTCACCTGCCAACTCAGCAGGACAAGCAGGACCTTGTGGTGGAACGTGGCGGCCACAGGCGGGTGAACATTGCCATTTTCTAGCATCTCACGTTGAAGTGTCCGTCAAGAATGTCTGCCAAAGTTTCTTTTCTGAAAATGATAAAAATAATATATTTTTTAGAAAACATTAACACAATAAAATATAGTGCTTAATTGATGCTCACTCTGGACAACTCCAGCTGAGGGCCTGTAGCCATTCATGCAAGCCAGTGCGTAAAGCACGTTGCCGCGTGCAACTTTTTGGGGTCATTGTTGGCATCGGTAGCTTGCTGGGGTGAGAGGCCTGTAGTTAGCATCTCAGCAGGAATTTCCAGCATCTCTTCATCATCCACAAGCTCGTACTTCTTCATCGTCCTCAGCATTTTGTAAATCCTTTCGGCTAGAATATGAGCACCTGTTTTAAAAAAAAAAAATAATAAACTTCAGAGAATTTTATTAAGAAAAAACTTACTCTCGTTGCTGACAATTGGAGGAGCTTCGTTGACGAGCAAGAAATGCGACATTGTCGTGCAGTCCTTCATGGCAATGTGGATGATCGGACCCTCATCGAATGGAGCGTACTGGATATGTCATGCACGGGTTTTTTTGCATTATCACCCAAAAACCTAGGAAAAATTAATTTTACGGCCTCAGACATTTTCAAGTAGGGGTGTCAAGATGGAAAACTCCTAAAAGAGGAAAAATTCTTGTATGAATGAATAGATTATATCATATAATTTATGTGTATATGACTTATTTTTTGTATTGCATATAATGAAAAAATAACGTTCTTTTGTATTAATAAATTGTGTATGTAGCATTAAAATTTAAAAAAAATAATACATACCGTTTTTGTCAACATTAATTTTAACAAAAATCTGGGATGATAAGTTTTAGCCCTGTTCAGTTCATGCAATTTTAGTTTCAAAATTCTTGGTGGTTGGTTAAAAATGCTTGAATAATGTGGTCAAAATATCGAGGAAAAATGAGCAGCTCGTCCTTTGTGCAAATATGCGCTATATAATGCGCTTATTTCCGTTATATTTTTATATTTGCAAGAATTTTCAAAGTAATAATTTTATTTTTTTTAAAAAAAAGGAAGAGTCGTTATGGCAAGAATTTAAATCTAAAAATTTCTGTTGCCCCCCGCGCAAAAATTACAAACTGCCTGTTAAGCAAAAAACGTTATAGAATTCAACTTTTTAGAAAATAATTGTGCGAATTTCGGGGTCCCAATTAAAAACCCGGTTTCCGAAGCTTTAGGTTTATGTACGTGACCAGGCGCTTAACGCTTTCGCCTTAAAATTAAGAATTCTTAACCGCACAAGAAAGCTCAAATTTTCATTCAAAATAATATTTAAAACGATGAATAAAAATTATCCATGTACCGCGATATTTTTCTGTCGCCTTCACTGGTCGCTGCATAAGGCTTGACCGCTTCAATTTCGCGACAAAATCGCGATGCTGCTGATGGGACGCAATTCGATCTCTGTGTCCGGTTATTTCGGTTGATATCACGTACGAGAGAAACTGAAGCCGACTCCGAAAATGATCTTTTCGGATCCTTCATCTCTTGTTGGATGAAAACAAAAGAATGTCCCAACTCCCAACCTCAAATTTGAACGGCTCGTGCAGTTTGACCAACCGTTTAGAATTCTTGACATATTTTTTTGAAACTTCGATGATTCATTTGCTACCATCGTTAATTTATTTTACCATTATTAGTTGAAAACAAGAAAATTCTTTTTATTTAAATTTTCGTTTCAATTGCGAGTCTTCGGTGGCGAGGCAAACACTCGGACTGTCTTGCAAAAAATGGGTGCATCTCGATCCTCGATCCCATTTAAAAAAAAGTGTTTATATGAAGATAAAATTCAATAAAATTATTATTAAGTATCTCTGCCAATTTAAAATTTTCACTGGAACACTTGATTTAATGAATATAAATTTCTCATTTCAGTTTTATTACAGCGGGGAGCAGAGTTAAGTTTTGTTGGAATTTTTTTAATTGTATCAAAATTCTGCCTATAAAAGACTTTAATTTTTTTATTCAATAATTACAATGGAGGCCAGGGTCACAACATATTTTTTGCAATTTAGCATTAATTTTTTCATAAAAATGTGGAATATGTGGGAATATTGGCACACAAGTTTCAAGACGTAAGAAATTAATTTTACTAAAATTTCTTGTATGTCGATATTATTTTTAGAACACAGCAGACTGTAGTATGATTTGCATTCTGCAAAAAGATTATTGTAAGTGATCTGGTTGTCTACTTCACCGCAGCAGGTTTCTGATTTATGAAATCCAAAATGCAATTTACGCAATATTGATAAACCCTTGGAAGTGTTATTTCCATGTGTAGCGCTTATTGTTATTTTTAATATTGGTAGATAAAAGTGAAAAATAACAAGTAGCTCTATGAGTAATAAAAGGCTCAAAAAATTTACAAAGTCTATCAAATTTTTATATTTTTCCTTTTATCACAAACAGACAATAATAACCCAGTATCTAAGATTTCACTGGCTTTAAGAGGAGCAACAAAAATTCAACACAAGTTAAAAACAAAAGTTGGTGGTAGCATAAACGTAAGCACTCTTGTGAACAAATTTTTGTCAGATAATGCGTAACAGTAATAAAAAGTTTAAAAAGTCCATTTTCTTCCGACGTATGTACGTGTCTTCGATTAAAAACACAGCCCGTGGAAAGTGGCCAAGGCTTATCTGTCCCGATCTCGGTTGTCTCGACTGCTCCGAGATCTTCGTTTTTTCCTGGTGGGGGATGGGCTCCTTGAGTTGGAATGATGTCTTTTGGGTGGGGGCGAAGGTCTTCTAGGTGGCGGTGACCCCGACATCTCCCTGGGAGAAGACATGGTTGGGGGTGGACCAGGTGGGGTTCGCGAAGGGCTTTCGCGGCTCTTGTGAATTTTAACGTAGTGAGGGGGAGGTAATTTCCTGCTGTCACGACCTTTACGGTTGCCGCTGCTAGAACTACTCTTTCGGGCTATGGACTTGGCAGTGCTTATAATTTGAGAGACTGCGTTGCTTACAGAGGTAGGAGGTATATCGAATCGACTTGTCCTTGGTGCAGGTGCTTTCGGAGGTGCTGAAAGTGAAGACGTGTAAATAAGTTAAAAGTTCAAATTAAAAAACTGATCAAAAACATAATTGATGTGTGATTTAAAAGTATTTACCAGCAAATACTCTAGTGGTAGGATTGTAAAGATATCCAGCAGCAATGCATGTTTTGCATTGGTCATAGTACTGTTGTAGGTATTCAGGAGGAGAACTACTCGGAGGTGGTGGAGGTGGCAAATTTTCCAGTTCTGCTAATTCAGCTTTTCGTTTTTCTTCTTTAGCAGCTTTCAAAGCAGCCTTGTCCTTCACTGCTTTTATCTAATAAAATAAATATAGTAAAATTAATCATTAAAATCTTATAAAAACTCCAATCTTACCTTTGGTTCTTTCTTTGACTTCTTTGATTCCTCAGATTTCTTCTGAGCGCTTTTGGCAGTCTTTCTGAATCTCTTCTCCTTAAGCATATTTGCAGTGGGTGGTGGAGGTGAAGACATTTCCTCGCCTGCTGAAGAACAAGTTCCCTCGCCAGGTTTCACTCCGTCGGAGAACATCACCAGTTTGCGAACTCTAGTTACAGTTTCTGCTTTTGCTCTCTCAATGAAACCAATGGAGACCAAGATTCCTTTTTCAGCCGGTTCAAAACTAACTGACCGGAGAGGCATGTCGTCTTTATTTATGATCTTCAGTGGGATAGTTCTTGACAGCCTCGACACTCTTCTCTTTGGTGACATTTTCTCCACTTTCTTGACAGAGGGAATTTCCTCTTGGTTGGAGGAATCAACGTCTTCCTTTTCGTCGCCCTCATCTTCCTCCTCATCTGGTATAGAATACAGAGCCTCCTGAAGAGTGGAAATGTTTTACGTAAATAAATAATTTCATCAAATAATCATATTATTACCTCAAACAACCGTTTTTCCTCAGCTTCATCCTCCTCGGCAGCTTTCGCCTTCTCCAATTCAATTTGCTACATTTAAGTTTTGTTATCAGAAAAGGTTGCACAGTTTTTTAAATAATTTACCTTGCTCTCTTCCTTCATTTTAGCAGCCAAACGAACTTTCCTTCGATCTTCTCGCTCCTCTCGTCTGCGCTGCTTCTCTTGATTTTTTTTAGCCTTTGCCTCTCTGCGTGCTTCAAGAGCGGCTGTGAGATTTGTTTTGTTTAAAACTTCCGTATTTACATAAAAAAAATATTGATAATTACCTTCAATGACTGCTGGATCAACGATTGCTCCAGGAATTGGAGGATGTGATAGTATAGTGGGCATCGAGATTGGCACATTGGTCGGCATTTCAGGCGCAAGAGGAGTAGAAGTGATTGGCTGAGGAACAACTTGCAGGACATTGCCAATCTGAAGTAAAGGTTATAATTAAATGAATTCATTTAGACCATAATTTTACAAAAGCAAATGAAAAAGTGGAAAAAAACAAACAAAAGTAAGCACAACGCTCACCTGCAATACCTGATTGATGGAACCCTTCAGCGGTACTGCGTTAGGAGATTGCAGAACTTGATTTTGGTTCTCCCCTACATCTTCTCTCGGTACCACATGTAATACATTCCCAACCTAGAATCAAAGATATTTTTAATTTCAGGAACTGACAATTGAGACAATGAACAAAAAATCCATGTAAAAGTTAGTTTACCAGTTATGTAAAATACTAATTTTACTACTTGCAAAATTGAATTTTCAAGAAATACACCTCAAGTCTCAACTTTCAAGAGTAATATTTTGGAATTTTTACCTGTAAAACGTGAGCATCTTTGTCCTTTTGTGGCATCTGATAAGTCTCTGGCTCTGCCCAGCTCTGCTTTTGTTGGCCAAACTCGTAGTTTTGGTTGAAGTACTGGTTATTGTAGAATTGGTTGTAATTATTGCCCTGGCTGAACTGGAACACTGGTATTTGATTCAAGGGTCCGCTATCCTTTTTGACGCCCAACTCAAGTTCAATTCTGTCGTCTAGAGAGATTCTTTTTGGAGACCTTCCTCCCTCTTGATTAGTCTCATTGGGCTGCTGATACGCCCCATAATATTGGGAATAGTTCTTTCCATAGTAATCCTGGTAATCGGGCTCATTCTCCTCTGTTTTCGAGGCTGCTTGCAGTTCCGAATCACTTATAGTAGAATCCGCAACTGATCGTTTCAGACCGACTAGGGGAGAGGAGTTTGGAGAATTAATTTCGTGTAACAATTCAGATTCAATTTGGGTTCTCTTGTCAGAACTACGAGGACTGCGCCGAGGACTGGGTGTGCGGGGTTTGCCCATAGTCCGTCCTTTCAGGTGAGGAGGCGACCTTGGTCTAGGCGAGCGTCTCCTTTGTGGGCTCCTCCTCGACCTGTCTGGAGATCTTTGCCTCGGCCCAGGTGGAGATCTAGTTTTACGGGAAGGAGAGGACGCCATTCGACGCTCTCGTCGTTTCTGCATGCGCGACTTTGGTGAGGGAGCAGCTTTCCTCCGGTCATTAATTTTGAAGTCACTTGGTCTGCCTTCCCTTTCGTGGCTTTTACGGCTTTGCCGTCTGTCTGGAGATCTTCTAGTTGCGTTTCGTCTTACATTAGACCTTTTATCATTAGATTTTCTATCTGGAGAGATCCGCCTTCTTGGTGGAGATCGTTTAAATGGTGGCGACCTTTTTCTATCAGTTGTCTGCTTGTGTTTTTGTTCATATTCTCTCTCAGGAGAGAAGCTTTTAAGTTTTTTGTCTAGTATTTCATTATCATTAATTTTTATGGCAGCAGACGAGTCGTCAGGCTCAGTCTCTTCCTCATCATCATCGTCATCTTCTCCGAAATGAGGGTGTATTGCTATAGTCCTTTTTAACATGGGTTTGAACTCTATCTTTTTCAACTTTATTGGAGAGAACTGGTTAGACTGTTGGTACAATAGCATGGACGGAGTAATTACAGGCATGTACGGGCTGGAAGATGAAATGCAGTTCTTTGGCATTATGTCCCAACCGTCATCATCAACAAAAGATTGTTGCTCTTTGATGGGTGTTGATGTGGAAGCTGAAGTTAAAGAGTTGAAACTGGAGTCGACGTCGGAAGCGTCAGAAGCAGAAGAAGAAGAGGAAGTTGAAGACATTTGTGAAGGTGAGTACAGTGCTGATTGTGCTTCTGGTGCGTCTCTTACTTGCTCTGGCTCTTTTTGCGTCGTCTGTTGCCCTTCTTGGACTTTTTCAAGTCCGTCTTGGTTTTTTTCCGTGCTTTGCTGGCCTCCACCTTCAATATAGAAATTATCTTTCTCTAGCTCAAAATTGCTTTCAGGGCTATTGTCACTTACATTGGTGGAGCTGCTGGAACTTCTGGACCGTTTCTTTTTGGATCGCTTCTTCTTTCTTTTTCTTTTGCTGTCTGAATCTGTGCTAGAGTCGCTGCTTGAGCTGTCAGACGAGACCTTCTTTTGCTTCCGTTTCTTCTTCTTCTTCTTTTTCTTAACGTCATCCTTCTGCTCTCCTTCCTTCAGCTCCTTAAGAACTTTCTCCCTCTGGAATTTAAGCCGCAAGTATTCTTCAAATTCTACAGCCCAGTTATGCGGAGCATCATCCTTTTGGCCGGACTTCAGTTCTTCCTCATATTTTGACCTTATGAAGTTCTCGAAGCTACTGCTCAAACTTGTCTCATGTGGTTTGTTCTCATTTTTCCCATCTGACGATTCTGCGCCATCCTGCTTTGAATCATGGACAGTAGACTCGGCTTTCTCGGATGCCTCGGACAGTTTAGCTGGTGGAGGATCCATTTGTTTTTTCTTTGAAGTTTTCTTGGTTTCGCTTTCATGGCCTTTGTCTGTTTCAGAGTCACTGCTGTCTTTCCTTGACTTTCGTTTTTTCTTTTTCTTCAATTTCTTAGACTTCTTGTCCTTCTTATCTTCGTCACTCTCAGAGTCTTCACTGCTTTCATCAGAGGAACTGTCGGTTTTGGCTTTTTTCTTGGCCTTCTTTTTCTTTTTCTTCTTTTTTTTCTTGGCCTCCTGTTTTGCCCCCTCGTCATCAGACGATTCATCATCTACCTTACTGCTCTTCTTTTTAGCCTTCTTTGTCTTCTTCTTTTTCTTTTCCTTCAGTTTCTTTTTCTTTTTCTTGTCCTCTTTTGCGTCACTCTCATCTTCGCCTACATCTTCCTCCAGCTTCCGCTTCTTTGCTTTTGCTGGCTTCTCTTCTTCCATCTCCATCACTTCCTCCGTCTCCATGACTTCCTCCTCAGGCCCATTGTTGGCATTCTCTTCAGCAGTCTTATTTGCAATTTGCTGCATATCTACAGCTACTGTCGAAGGCACAAATCTGATCTCACTTAGAGATTCCATCTTCGCCTCTTCGACAAGCCACGGCCTCTCCTGTATTTTCCGAGGACCCTGGCTGGAATCGTCGTCTGAAGGGTCATCAACATCATACGAGTTCAGCAAAGTTTCAAGGCCAAATGAGTCGGGATTGGTGACACTGGCCACAGCGCTTTCCAAGAACTGCTTCATTATGTCGACAATGGCTGGAGGCTCAGAGGCTAGAATTTCATCCCGTGACTTATAATAGCCAGGAGTGATACATGGATTCTCACAAAATGAAAGCCTTGGCTGGGCCTTTGTAAACTTGATTATGTGTTGCGGAAACTCCTTCTCCCTCTTATCATTCGCGTTCTCGTCATTTTTATAACTCAAAGCTATGAACGGATTTTTGTGCTCTGGCGAGGAGAATAGGCTTGACTGAGTTTTAGTTCGGGCTGGGGACTGGCGACCAATGCCTATAGTCCTTGCTTTTTCCTGAGACCTGTAGGGAATCACCCTTCGTTTTACAAGTTGAACGCAACAAATAATATTTTGTGAGGCATGCATTCTGCAAGGCGTGGATGCAATTTGTAAATACATTTAATTTTTTTAGATGAAAATAACAATTTATAATGTTCTCATTATGCTTAAATTTGCTTTGTTTGATTATTTTTTATGTATATTTGATTTGACTTGTTATACTAATTTGAATAAATGACAGCCACACCCTGCACAGAGTGAAAAATTAATGAGGAGGACTTACCTCTTACTCCAGTCGCTACTCTTGCGTTCTACAGATTTGGATTTTCGGCTACCTGAGCTGCTCAAATCTGCTTTCAGTTGCGTCCAAGATGTGGGAGTCTGTGAACAAATGTGGTTTAAATTAGTAACTGAAGGTGTGTGATACACAATCAAGAAGAGTTATACTTTCTGAAGCTGAAATTTTAAATACTCGTTATGGAAATAATTTATTCGTTACATGTTTCGGGATCCCCAATTAGGGTTTGCCTTTTTGAAACTGGAATAAAATGGAGCATGGTAACTTTTTTTTTAATTTTTCCCGAGAGGTATTTAGTAACATTAGTAAGAATTAGCAAGCATTAATAGCAGTTTGTTAATCGTTTTAAGCGTGGGTGTGATGAGCACAGGGAAATATGTGCAGATTGCGCGCGCCCAATTGAGATTGGTGCCGCTTGAGAAGCATTTCACTTCCTGCTTCCTGTTTGAGGGTCATTTTACAAAAATATGACACAAAATGATAATAATCACAAGGTGCTTGACAGGATGTATATGAGTGGGAGTGAAATGGGCTGCGGAGAGCAAAATGGAACGCACTCTACTACCTTCATGAATCAGCTGCAATGGTAGAAATTGTTTCTAATTGAAATTTCACAAAATACTCAAGCATGCTCTGATTATTACCTTTGGTGGTGGGGTTGGTTCCTTAGGCGGTTCAGGCTCTTTGACGTTCTCTTTGCCTTTGGATTTTTGAGACCGTTCGCTGCTTCTACTGCGTCTGCTTGAGGAATCGCCATTTCTACTTTCTCTGTCACTTTTCTGAAATTTCAATGAAATATTTATAAAAAAAAAACAATTTAATAATTTCATAAGATGAAAATTTACATAAAAAAAGTAAAATAAAATATATTTAATTGCTGATTTTCTGTGTAAAATGAGCCAACTGAAGGTCACTTGTAACTTACGTCAGTTTTCCTGCTGACTTTGGAAATGGTCGACTCTTTGTCTGACGTGAACGGTTCTGACGTGGACACAAAACTGCTAGTTTCAGTGGTCCTCCTTTCGCTCCTGCTGTCGCTTCTGCTGTCACTTCTTGTGTAACTGGTGTTGGTGTAGCTACTGTAGCTGCTGTATGACCTCTTTGACCTTCTACCACGGTCTCGACTGCGACTTCTCCGATGAGACGAGCGTTTGTAGCCTCTTGATCTTGAGCTGGAGCGCGAATTGGATCGAGATCTGGAGCGTCGATAGTTGTTGAACCTTCTGTAGTCGTCGCGTCGAAAGCGCGACTTGCCCTGGCTGTTGAGAAGCGTCTTTTTCAGCTCCTCCTCCTCCTTCTTTATTTCGGCCATGTTCCGGAAGGCAGTTGGTATTTTAGAGTCTTTCTTCTTCTTCTTCACCTCCTTTTCATCCTCAGTCGAATTGGCACTTTTGCTGAAGGCCGTTTCCATACTTTTCGAAGGTGGCTTCGGAGGGCTTTTGACCCCAGGGGGCTTCAGCTGCTTGGTTTGCGAGAAAGCCAAAAGCCGTTTCTTGGCCTGCAGTTTGCCCAGCACAGTGGTCTTGGCTGGCGCCTTTTCTTCAGGTGGGGGCGGGGGTATCTCTGTTATTTGATAAGGATAGGGGTAGTAGCCACTCGGGCCATCAGGGTACATATTAGTAAAAGATTCGTCTGACCCCGGAGGCGCGTCGGCACTCTGATTAGCCTCTTCGTGCTCTTCATTTGTTGGCAGTTCGATGCCCGGGGGCAGCACGTCCTCCCCAGGGGGCAGTTCGTCCATCATTCCAGGGGGGTAGTCAATTGTGCCAGGGGGCGCGTCCTCAGTGCCCGGTATAGGGTATCGCAGCAAGTTCACCACCTGCAACATTTCAATAAAAAATAAGTTAAAAATTTTAAATTAATGTGGAGGCGGAGAGACGGACTGGATAGCTGCACATTTTGGTGACGAATGCTGATGTAGCAGCAAAAGATGGCCTGCTATAGTGGAAACTAATTTTCATTTTATCTGCTCGCATGTAGGAGGGGGACCATGCGATATTATCTACCGGCCGGACAGTTTCCTGTGCTGTTTACAATTTCACGGAAAAATGCAGGCACACACGGCTGCCTGTTTTTTTTTTTCATTTGTGACACCGAGGCAAAATATTTGGCACCGGAGCGAAATGAGGCGTTCACTGCGTTAATGCTTGACTTACAAACGTAGGGAGTCGTGCATAACAAAAATATGAATAGATAATAGGTTATAATAAACCTTTATGAAAAGTAAAAAATTTTTGCCTCACATTTCTGAACCGTGTGAACTGTGGTGTGAAGGCAGGCTATACACTTGGAAGGTTGCTTTAAAATACCCGCATCGCGGTGCTCAAAATGATTAGCATGAAAATAACGACCGGTCTGATAGCGACGAGAAAAGAAGTCGCAGGCGATAGTGCGTTTTTGATTTCCTATCACGCAAGCCAAACTGCGACCGTCAAAATCTCTGTGCTCAAGGAACGATTTTGATGGGCTCGGGCGCAACGTCCAACGGCACGCGCTGTCACAGAGGCCACGGAAAATGGCTGTTAACTGTCTTTGTAAATTGCCAGCTTTTTGGGTTCTTCTTCGCCTTCTCTCTGTTCATTTCAGTCTTGGGCGTAATCAGCCGACCTTTCCGATTAATTTGCCACCGTGGAATCCAGTAAGGGACAGATCTTGAAAGAAAATCGCCGTGAAACCTCAAGCTCAAAATGTGCGCCAGGCAAAGAAAATTTTCTCCTTCTTGGAGGAATTAGGAAATCGAGTCAAATGTAAAATTTCGACACGTACCCATGACCGAGGATGTTAACCAGTCCGTCAGTTTCAAACTTCTCCAGATACTGATGCTGAATTATTTGCCTACGAAGCCGAAATTTTGGAAAATCACTAGCAGGAGTTCAGAAAACACTCAGCTTAGCTGGTCGGCCATTTTTTATTTAACATGTTCAAGCAGTGCTAACAACGGAACAAGTTTAATGTCAATTATAAAGTATGTAGTAACATTTTATTTTTTTAAGCCTTACCAACGCAAATATTTTTAAATTTCAAAAAATATGCATTTAATTACTAATTTTACATTTCTTTTATCGAAGGACTTCCAAATTATTTATAAAATTAGCATTCTTTCCTTCCAGATTTTCTTTTGGTGGTGCACTGCGATTTCTTCAAAAGGTGGAGAAAGGTGGGCTTGCCGAATAAAAAAAGGCAGGGCAGTCTTCGAGCAAATAATCCTTTCGTGTTTGCTTTTTGTTTTCACAAACACGATCTTAATTTTTGCGATTTCATTAATATTTCGAGCCCGATTATAATGCAGAGAATTCGGCAACTTTGTCCTTTAGCACGAGTCTCATCATCAGTCAAATTCTCTTCGTCTGCTGCACAGCAAATTGAAAAAAATCTTAATGAAAAGGAACCGCCGACCAAAAGCGTTTTAAACAACAGAAATCCTAGAAATTTGGAACGACTGCGAATTGCATGGAAACCCCAGGGCTATCACTTAGAAAAACCTGGCAGAACATACTGGCACAAGTAACAACTTATTTCAGAACGTGCAATATTATTTATGTTTATATTAAAATTTGTATTTTTCAGGTTGGTCCTGAAGCAGTCACAGCGACATATTACGGCCCAAGTAGTTCATTTCACTGGAAAAGTTGTTGTTGAAGCATCAACAGAAGAATGGTGCATTAAAAAGCATTTATATAAGTACGTAGAATATACAGTTTCTGATCTCACTTTTTAAAACAATCCAAACTTTTCAGTCCGAGTGATGTGTCTGCTTACAAAAATCTGGCTAAAATCTTAGCTCGTCGTTGCATGGAGTTTGGTTTGCTTGAAATGGAAAACTCTGTGAGTGATTATGATCCAGAGACAAAGGTTAAAGAAATAAATACAAAAAAAAAATGCAATATACAATGATATTTTGTAATTTAGGTTGGAAAGTTCATAAAAGTAGTCGAGGATGAGGGCATATCCTTAAAAGAACCTAAACGTTATCTGCATGCTCAGCCTTTCCATCAGTTGAGACCAGAGAAGCCATGGGTTGTAACTGAAGATTAGATAGCTTTTTTGTTGGTTGAATAAAACAAGTTTTGATTTATATTACAAGTACACAGAATGCATATTATTTATTGTTCTCCATCCGTACTGTACATAGTTTTGGTGAAATAAAATTTTAATTCCATTGCTCTTGATCAGCTTTAATATACTGCATACTATTGTGCTTAATTGCATTATTTACATACATACACATAAGCTATGAAATTGAGCAAAACACATTACTCTTAAAACTGGTCACTTTGTAGTCTCGTTAATGTTTTTCATACTGAGTTGACCCCACAAAATTGATAATGTTATATCACATTCATTAACAAGGTGCACATAACAATAAATGCAATCGATCAATCACTTGCCAATGTAATACCATGCGAAAGAACCTATGAGTAGCAATTGTAGGAGCGCTTAATTAATGGCTGCATTTAAAAAAAGGACAGTCATCAACCTATCAATTTAAAATGGTCGCATCTTGTTTTTTCTTGATGAATGCTGTTCAAGTGTTATTTTACAATTTGAAAGAGGGACAATATGTATATTACTTACAACAATGCAGTCTTTCTTACAATCTTACACATTAAGGCTCGATAAAATTATCAAATTATCGCTTGTGCTAAAAGGCTTCACCTTTTCCCTCGTCAGCGGGACCGACGATTGATACAATTTATGTTGATTTTGAACTCAAGTCTAACAAAATCCTATATTAAATCAGACTGCACATTTAAAAGATTCAATCTACTTTAGCAGAAGACGATGAATTCGCAGAACCTGTTGCTTGGATAGGGCTATTAGGCCATGTGGGGCAGGTCACATCATTACTCACAAGGGAAACTGCGAATCCTTTCAATCTAAAACAAAAAATAATTTTGTTGGATCTGCTATTCCCGAGATGAATAAATATAATAACCTAGCATAAAGCTCTTCTCTCACAGTGGCTGTGAATTTAGTAGCTATACAGGCAGAGACAGAGAGAACAAATAAGGTGTTGTAGGACAGGACGATCAGAAGTGATCCAAGCCACTCGATCTGGCCAAACTCTCCCAGCAGGTCGAGGTTTGTGATTCCTAGCATTTAAATCATTTTATTTTTATTAATCAATAGATAGTGTGAAATTTACCTAAAATTCTTGAAAGAAGTGGTAAAGCAGAGCTTAAGAGCAAGAGAAGGGCGCAATGTAAAATAATCGAGGATAGCGGAGTTGCTGAGGGAACAGGACGCACTCTTCTCATGAACGATGTGGTGAAAAGACCGACGGCAGACGTGGCCACCAAGTATACAATCAGCACAATTTCTAAAGTGGCACCAAACATGCCAAGTTTGGAGAGGGAAGCTAAACCGAGGGTAACTTGTTCCTAAAATAAGAAGTGACGTGATTATTCGAGTCTTGGAAAGAAAAATTAAAAATTACTCTGGTGCTCCGGGGGAGTTCCTTCAGTCCAACTACCAACTGCACAGCATTCTGGACAACAATAACAACAGTGGTGCAGGTCAAGAATAGAAGCAACAACATGGCAATGGGGTACAAAAAGTTTCGCTTCAGCGTTGATCCGTGGCGTTGTTTTTCTGCGAAGCAAATAAATTTATAATCCCTAGAGAGAATTGCTTCATTTCAAATTACGTAGTAAATTAGTCTTTGCTCTGGCAGCATTCAGTCTCTGAGTCAGGCTTGCTTTTAAGGCGCCATTTCTAAGGCCTGCATCTGGATCATCGGGCGAAGAGGGAAGAATAGTTGAATTTGCTAAGAGCAGAGATGCACTGAACACGGAGGAGGCAAAGGGGGACACTTTATCGACCACATCTTCATCGTCACTGTCAGATAGTTTCCGCTTCCGCGAGTTTGCACTTTTTGGCGTAGAGAAATTTGAATGAGGAAGAGCACCATTCCCGTTGGACTTCGAAGTGTGTGCCTCCAGCTGCTTCTTCAAACACTCCTCTTCAAACTACGGAGGCAAATATTTTGTTACAAATCATTGAAATATGAATATTCATTACACAGACCTTGGCAACAAAATATTCTTCATTGAGATCACGCAAGAACTGCGGCTTTACAAGAATTTGGCTGGCCATGGAAAAGAGCTGAACCAAACCAGCAGGAGTGCATACTGAAATAAATAGATTTTAATGTAAATAAGGTAAATAAATAGTAATTTTTAAAAATATGACGGCACTTACAAAGCAGGAGAAGAACGCCCAGGAAGGAGACGCATGAGTATATGAATGGCAAATAGTAACTGGAGAGATCTGAAAAATGATTTCTCTCGATAATTTTACCCATTTTTATTTAAAAAAAATCAGGGTTTCTGAGCATGAGCTGCTCGCGAGCAAGATTGAGCAAAATTTTGCTCGCGAGCACCATTGAGCACTCCTGTAGAGAGCATGCTCGTGAGCAAATGCTTGCGAGCACCCCAAAAGGGAGCATGCTCGCGAGCAGATGTAGGGGAGCACTCCTGAGGTGAGCAGGAGCAGGAGCAGAAAATAGGGAGCACTTTTTAGAGGTGAGCAGGAGCAGGAGCAAAATTTACTAAATATGCTCGAGATGCTCCTTCTGCTCACATTTGCTTTAAAAATTTTACTACAATAACAGAATACAGAATTTCATACTAAATCTATACTCTACACTGTGAGATCAACAAAAACCAGTGGAGGACGCTTTATAATCGCAATGCATTATCCCTATGCTCTGACGCTCCGCCTACACCCCTTTCAGCCCTGAGTTCGACCTGCTGCACCTTATGTGCTCCTGGCAAACCTTCAGTCCTCTTGTGTCTTTCCCGCTGTACATAATTTAAAAAGAGCTCAATCTCCTGCTTCATATTTATGTGCTCCTGGCAACAATTCGTCTTTTTAAATAATAATTAAATCATTTTATGGGAACAATTTTATTATTTTAATTTATATTAAATTTTTCATATATGGTCTTAATTTGGTATCAAATTATGTCTTTGATTTTTGCTAAATTATATCGGCTTAATAAATATTCTTTCAGAATTAATTAAAAACCTACATGCCGAATTTTCATATCAAACATTAGCATGACACTGCTCGAGAGCAAATCGCAGGAGCAAAATTTGCTCGGAGCAGCATTGAGCACTCCTTCAGTGAGCATGCACACGAGCATCTGCTCGCGAGCACCCCAAGAGGGAGCATGCTTGCGAGCAGATGTAGGTGAGCACTCCTGAGGTGAGCAGGAGCAGGAGCAGAAATTAGGGAGCACTTTAGAAGTGAGCAGCAGCAGGAGCAAATTAATTTGAGCACCTGAAAAATTTTGTGCTCAGAAACCCTGAAAAAAATACTTACTGAAAAGTTTCTGCAAACTTGACTTGTCGCTGTCTAGCATTGACGATAAAATGAATGCAAGTCCAAGCACCACAAAAGCCAACAAAAGGAGAACGATGAACGTTTCATAGATTCTTGGTAAAATCCCCTAAAAAATTATCGTAAATAAATTGTTGTTTTAAAATAAGATTATAAGTCACCTTTCTGTGACCTGCAAATCCCTCCGACTCGGTGAACAGGTAGGCGAAGGGCAGAAGGACGAAGAGGGACAGATTTGAAAAGAGGAAAATGTGGTTCCAGAGACCTTGGATGAGAGAGCTGTTGAGCCACTGCACGTAATAAGACTTGGGGTAATGAAGCAAAACCTCGTTGCTGATTATGGATATGGGAAGGAGGAGGACCGCTCCAGCTGCCACTGCCAGCGAGAATGTGCACAGCCACAAACTGCAAAGAAAAGAAACGTTAGGCTTCGGATTGACAAAAAGAAGATCAGCCACATACCTGATTCTGTACACAGTCGCTTCCTCATCGTCCACTAAAATGTCGTCTCGTTCTCTTTTTCGATAGCGTCTCACTAAGGACCAACTCACGGCGATCAGGGCCAAGAACAGGAGCAGGAATATCTGGAAAAGAAAAATTAACAAAAATTTATTAGACAAATTCAATAAATTAATTAATTATTTTTATTTATTTCATAAGGGAGAAGGAATGTTGAAATGGTAATTCATTAATTCTTAGCAGATCTTTTCATTTAATTAAGCTATTTGACCATTATTTACAGTGAAAACTTGTTTGTATAACGTCTGGTCTGGGTCATAGCATAAGCGCGAATATTTTTGGACCAGACCAAGTCTTCTGCCAGCAGGTCATATTTTTGCTTGACAGCATATTTGTTTTCCGTGCAAGACAATAAATTTGGCGCCAGCTGAAGGGCAAGGTCTCGCCGAATTAGAACGGCTGGTCGAAAAAAAGTATGGTTTGCGTCACTCGTCATTAGCTGGTTAGGTAACTTTCTGCTAGACAAACAGCAGTTTCTTGAGTTTGACATGCTAGACGAAAAATTAAAAATTACTATGCTGAATTTATGCAGCGTCTAAAAATTTGCTCGGTGTGGAGTTCTTATGCATGCGGCGCAGAGGCGGATTATTTTCTTCTTTCATTGATCAAGTTGTTGCTCCGCCTCTATATTTAGAGCCGCGACCGGACAGTTTGTGTTGCAGAACAGAAACACGGCGAGCCTGCCTAATTTACATTTGACTAAATTTAATACCACCACTGCCGAGAAAACAAGTGCTGGCGTTTCTAGGAAATTAAAAGGAGTAGAAAACCGAGGCCGCACTAAAGGTTAAGAAAATTTAGAAAAAATTGAAATAATTTTATCTTTTTTTTTAGTTGTTTATTTAAAAAAATAAGTATTATAAAAAGCGTAAAAAGTATAAGAAATTTAGCGAATAAAAAAATCAAATTTTTTTTAATACTTTTTAACACTAAAGGTTTTCATAAATTTGCTGCTAGTTTAGGTTTCCTTTCACTGATGCCCCTCGTTGAGCTTGCGGGCGAAAACGTCACGATTACCCACAAATTGGCGAATTTAAACTAAACTTATACATTTATGCATACGGGCTTTGACCCCAAATAATCTAAAAGGAAAGTCGCGTCCCTCATTTTACGCTCGGTCGTTTGGCGACAAGCTCCAGTAAACGTGCAAAGTCGTGGGCGAATCTCAATCGAAATGATTTAATTCCTCGAGACAGTTCATGCAGAAGCTCTTAAAAAATTATTTATTTACGTCTGTAATCTCTTTCATCAGATAAATAATTCAGAAGATAATAAATCGATTTGTCGTCGTTGTGCCGCGAGTCAGAAATAATTTCGCCGTCATCGAGCGCCGGCAAGAGGGTCATTGGCACATCAGTAGATTCTGGCGGTGCCTTTTTGCCTTCGGCCCGAGGCGGCGCTCAACAACAGAGAACGTCTTTAGCAGATATTCCAAGGCACGGTATTTAGGCAGTGAGAAAAGCCTCTGGAATGTGGAAAGAATTTCATTACCGAGTCACCAAAATGCCATAGGCCACGCTTTTGAGAATGGTAAATTTCGTCGCCGTCCTCTTGGAAGAATGGAGATGCTGATGAATAATTCAACGATGAAAAAATAAATAATGCGTATTCAAAAATATTTAATTTTTTTTTTTAAAATTAATTCAAATTTATTATGACTTGTATGTTGAATTATGTAATAATAATGACAAAAATGCATTCTTCCTTTAGTTATAGAAAAATATTAAATTAAGATAAATACAATAATTAAGATAATTAAATTATTATTATTAAAAATTAAATTTAAAGTTTTAAAAAATAATATAAATATTTATTAAAATAGATCAATATTTATTTTGTTTCTTGAAGCTCCAAGATGTCTTTTTTTTTTAAATACAAACTCTTGTGTGAATTTCATTTTGAAATATCTAAAAAAAAACGTCATTTTCCTTTCATTGTCAGATTCAATTTTCAAAGCAATTTCATTATAGGGAAAAAAATCTCAGCAGCCATAGAAGTTTGAAATTCGGCTAAATGCGCCGCATTCTGACTCTACCTATTGGGTACGAAAATAAATAAATAATCTTTGACGTGGTCCGCTTGTTGGTCGATCGTTTGCCAAATATTAGCACAATATCGGGAATCAAAAGTGTGCGTGTGGCGAAGCCCCTCTGATGTTATTTACGCGCGGAATGCAAATAAGCGCATCACGATCGCCACGTGATTTCCGTCTCGAGACGAATACGCAGCACTTGAAAGTCGGTTTTTGCAGCAACGGCATTTATTATTTTCTTGCTGCATCTCGCGCGGAAAAATGCGTTTGTCCGTGGTCTGTCAAACAAAATTACAGTTGTGTGACTTTTGCACCTCGCTTAGCGCACAGACATACGTGCTAAAATGCGAGTACAAAGTGTTAAGTCTCGACGAGATAAATATTTAGAGCCCAATCAAGATATTCAGTTAACAAGGCCAATTATCGACAATAAGATTTCAGTTTAGCACACTCAATTTCGTCAAGGATTAAGTTCTCTTATCATAATATTATAGTGCTTTGATTTATTTGTATGTTATGAAATGATAAATTGTTCAAATATAGAATGTATGCAATGAATCATGAATGCAAATACTAGAATTTGAATTAAGAAAGCAGTTTGAATGATAATTAATGGAAATGAAATTAGAGTTTTAGCTGCAATTAAAAAAAATAATAACAAATTAATAAATAAATTAGTTAATAAACAAACTTACTTTGCAACTAAACATAATGACATATTAAATGAAAATCAGGTATACATTTTGTAAAGTGATTGATACAAAGATGGAATAAACTGGCTTGGTCTTGCTCAAAATCAAACACATTGCTTTGATAACCCTAATCAAATTCTACTGTCAAATTTTGTGATAAAAATTGTTCCGTGTAAAAATGTAGCTTTATTTACGATTATAATATAACTTTAAATAATTTTGCACGAAAAATTGTTGATTTGAAAGAAAAATAGTTATAAAAAATTGAAGTTCTTGTCAATATGATTTCACAGCTCATGAATTATGGCTGCAGATACATGTAGAGCAGAATATTGTTTTTTTTTTCTTAAATAATAAACAACTCACAAACAAAACCCATCGAGGAAAACCCGATTTTAAATTCAAATAACCTCTCCTATTACTTTTTTTTAAAAAAGGTCCAAGCAGCTGCATCGTCAGTTAATTTCACTCGATGATTTCACATTCCTAAGATTGAAAATAAAAATCGTGAACGCGTTTTCTTCTGCTGAATATTCACTTATTGTTGGATCAAGTTGCTAATACAGCAAAAAATTTCTATTTAGAACAATCTTTGTCCGCTAATTATAATACAAAGTCAGAGAAGAGAAAGTAAATGAGTAATTGTGTCTGATTTTATGCACGGCTCCTCATTCCATTTCGATTGTGTCTGCGGTCGCATTTCATCAATCGCGCTCAAGAGTAAACAAATAATACTGCTCACGATCGTTGCTCAATTTCTCTTGCCAGCGATTGTTGCATGCATCAAATTACTTGGCATTGAATCGCTCATTGAAATGAAGAGCGCAGCGACAATACTGAAATGCCAATCGAAAGCTGTCAAGTAAAAAAATATTCTGCAAAACTTTATATCTCAATTGAATTTAATTATTTAAAATAATAATTAAAATTGAAAAATTGAAACCAAGAGAAGCTCATTGCAAAGGAAATAATAATAATAATTCACCTGATTTCAATTTTCCATGAAATCCACCTCGAGTGTTACAGTTGAATAATTAAAATTACTAATTATTTATAAATAATTGATGAAAAGAAAAAAAAATTAGAGCAGAACGACTTAAGCTGATGATCTAGCCATAATATATTAAAAATTATCATAAGTTTTACAAATCGACCCCTTTAATTCTGAATTGATCTAGAACACAATTATCCTATTTGAAGTAATCACAACGTCTGCATCTCCTCCCGACTTCCTGCCTCGTGAATAACTCCGCCTGGGTGTCGCCTCTGTCACAACAATAAAACGAGTTTCATCCAAATGAAATTACCCCCAGCTCTCGGAAACCGACTTGAATAATGTGTTCTTTTATATCCTACACGAGAATTCAACAAAATTGCACCGCGAGCAGAGATCGTGTTATCCGCGGCGCAACAGACTTCCTGAAAGAACTGCGCGAAGGTTGTATAAAATAAAGAAGCGCCTGACTAGATGGTCGTGTTTGTTTCCAGTCAGGTTTTCAGCACGTGACGTCATTATAGTAAATCGAGAATTCGAAAACACTGAAAACGACCTGCAGGTGAGCACCGTCGTTTTACGCGTCATTTTTCTCCGGTCGTGGCCCCGCTATGGGCGACCAAAATTAAAATTAACGGATGCTGCCGGAGGTCAGTCGCCGCTAATTATATTTATATGGTTTTGAATGGAAGTTTTCACACTGAGGTTTAATACAAAGGGTCTAATTGTAGAAATCTCTGTGGTTACGATTAAAAAGGATAATTTTTTACTGACCAAAATTGATAATAAATAAAAATGATTACAAAAATGGTTCCAATATCTACAAATAAATGATAAAAAACATGGACAAAGAACGACAGAAAAATTGGGATTTCCAATTCTTATCTTAAGTGATACTCCTAAACTTGAAGTGAATCCCATGAAGCTTTGATTCACACATTAAATATTGCACAGACTAGAATAATGTTTGATTTGATATGAAATCTTTTCTTTTAAACGAAATCAAAGGAATTGAATTTTTTCTTATCATTTCCGTCTAAAATTTCAATATAATAAAATTTGTGCTTAGTGTGAGATTGTCTATTTCGTTTTCGTTGGAATTTTTGTGTGGTTTCAGTGTAATTCCAGTTTCAGTTCAGGGTTTGGAATTAAATTTGTTTGAAGAAATTGACACTTGAGGAAATGATGATGAAGGAAAAGCCCGATATCTGCATTTTAGATTTAAATAAACACCGAATTTAAATTAAGTTTTGATTAAAAAAGAAATTCCTCCAGCAGAGAGTTGATTTTTAATTATAATTTCAAATTCCGGCATTGGAAGTTTGTTCAAAAATTGTTTTTAATGCTTTCTCGCAATCCATGGAAAATCAATCTAAAAATTCATACTTTCATTCAAAATTTTAAAACCAAATTGAATTGAAAAAGGAAAAAAATCAGACTTTTATTACATTAATATCAGAAAACTAATAGAGAGAGATGTTGAGTGAATTAATATTCTTCATTAGTCTCATAACAAGGGAAATTTCTTTTGCTTATCATGCTTGTTTTTTTTGTTGCTGCGAAAAAGTCAGGGACGAATCTAAAACTGGCCTGGGAACGAAAATTCAAATTGCATAACAAAAACCTCTATCCGTGCTCTATCAAGAAACACAAAATAATAAGTTACATAATTTTAATACAATCGTGAGATAAAAAAATGGCAGATTATAAATTTAAAGACAAAAATTCTGACTTTCGCATTTCTTACTTTTGATTTTCTGACGTTTAAAAACAGATTTTCTGATGAATTATTAAATTTATTTATTTTTTGGTAAACAAAAAAATGCTATTTTCTGACAAATTAATTTCGGCAACTGAATTTAAGCACAAAATCAGCCACATGTCTGGTCCAAAGACCTTGACTCTGTCGCCGTCTCGCTCTCTGAGCACCAACCACGGTTAAGGTCATTTATTTTTTTTTAAATCTCTCTTTTTTTAAATTAAATCAAAATGAAATTATTTTCTTCATCTGTTCAGATGTTGGTGACAGGAGAAGAGAACAATTTGAGTCAGGGTCGTCGAGCTTTGAACGTAATTGCAAGACAAGTAACCCAATTTAGGCTATCGCGACGACAGCCTGCTGCTTTTCTTCCCTTTATCAACCTCTTGATAACTCTTGATTGCGTGTGCGACTTTTTACCCGGCTGATTATAAATTATGAAAAAATAATTAAATAAGAGACTTTACAATCTCGACCACGTGGAAGAAAAGAAAACAGCGTGGCGTTTTTACAATTATTACAAGAAACTCGATATTCTTATAACTATTATTTTATTTACAGCTGTCGAGTAAATTTAGATTTTACAAGCTGGGGCCAAGGACGGACGAGAACATTCGGATAAAAATAGCGTTTTTCGACTAATTAAACACTTAATTATTTAACTGTCGAAGAACGTTTAATCTTGTGACCCGAAGATTTCCCGTTACCCATTTTTCGATTGATCAACTCGATAACGTTCTAGAAGATCAGAAAATTTTTTCATGGCTCATAGCAAAAATATTTTCTCAATGATTGTTTATGAAACATTATACATTGAAAGCAACTTCTCTTATGGCAATGCATATTTTAGAAATAATGAAGAAAAATTACAGCAACGATTAAAAATTTCTATGATAATTCAAAACATGAAATTATTTTTATAAATTTAATTTCAAAATTGAGCTGAACTGCGAATTCAGAAAAATTCTTTGTGATAATCTGAATAATATCCCTCAGAATTATTTAAAAACGAAGAATTCTGCCAAAATTAATGGATCGGTGAATTTAATAAATTCTCATGAATGAGCCTCTCCTTAATTTAAATTAAGTTTTATCAATTCGAAGGCTGACGAATCAAACATGGTGAGGGGCACGTAGGCCCTTAATTTGCGTACATAAAGAAATCAGTTTCGAAATTGCGTTGATTTGAAATCAAAAAGAATTTTGGTCGAAAACTTACGATGTTCTCGCGGACCGTGTTGTGGAAAATCTGCTCCTCCTCCGTCGTCTCCTCATCTTCCATGACCTTTTCCTCAAGTGTCCACACTGTGCTCGGTCATTTTACGGCGCCATGGCGCCGAAACTGGGCTCGATCAAATAATTGTAACGATCAATGTCACTTGCTCCGAAATGTTTTGAAACTACGTCCTTCCTTACAGGCGTCTCTCGCACATCTGCCTGATGCAATTTGCCTCTCTCCCGTCGCTCTCGCATTTCATTGGCGCTGCGCTCGGCATTCCGAATCGGTGGCGCGAAAGCAGCGCCACCTCATTTGCATAGAATATGTTAATAAATAAGATAGAACGATCGAGTTGAGAATGCTTCGGTGTAATGAATTTGGAATTGAATTATAAGTAAAAACGGAAAAGTTAAAAAAAATCCCTGGTAAGAAAAATTATAAATCAATATAAATAGTAAAACGAGAAATTATTTTCCTCACATTAAATGAATTTTAAATTAAATTTGTTATATTTACTAAAAAAATTAAATTTGTTATAAATACTGTTTTAACAATTTAGGAAAAAATAATTTTCTTCCTTTTCACTGAAATAGAAGACACAAATTTTAAATACGAATAGCCGTTACCAAAATTGAAAAAAATTAGCAATTTAGATTTCTATGTGTAGCATTTAATTTAATCTAGAAGATGTCTTTCAAAATTAATTTATTTTAACATTAATAAAATAGAAACATCAGTAATTTAAATAATTCTTTTGATTATTTATTTAACATATTTCAACAGTTGATATTAATGGCATGTACAATTAAGGCAGAAACAGCATTATTAATCATATTCTAAAAGGACAGATTTCAGATCACCAGTTTTCAACATACATAATACTTCAAAATTGCGTTACGTTTTTCAGTCAAGTAGTTTTGTTAAGGTTTTTACACAGCATTATAATATAAGTCAGGCTGAAAATAAGGCTTTCACAGTACAAAATATTTACAATTGCTACAGCGCAAAAATTAGTAAGCTTAATAAGCAATACATTAATCTCAAGCAGTATTAGTGGCAAAATGGCAAGACACAAATGACTAGTGTTAGATTTTGTAAAAATTCCCGTGACGGGCAAAATGTTGCTTTACAATTTCTTGGCAACAATTGAATTCTTGGCATAGTCTGGCTCCCTTTTCCTCCAGAAATTTCAGGTGTTCAAAAATTTTGATCAGGTCAGTTTCGGAAATTTGCTTTCCGGCCAGACTTTCGTGGATGAGAGTCTCAAGTTTTTTTGATGCAATCTCGATAATATCTTTATTGGCACTACGCGGCAAATTTGGCAGTTCATAATGCAGTGGCCAGGAATTTGAGCATGCTGGGCAAGCACAATTGAATAAATATTGGGATCGCAAGTGGCTCTGGCGGATTTCTTTCGAGTGGACAGCAAAATGATAGCCGTAGTTGTCGAGAATTTCAGACCCTTTTGGGATGAACTTGATAGCTCTGAGGACGGCCGTGTTTCCGTGTGAATGTCGGACTACATTAGGGTCGCAGGAGTGATTCAAGAGACTCAGGCACGCATAGGCCGCTGCACCAATTTCCAAGCTGATCGGGACCTTTTCGTTGCCCGGAAGGACAGTTTCCGAGACTTCGTGGGCATTGCAAGGGAGATTTTGGAGCAACCGCAGTAAAAAAGCTCCCAAAAGAGGAGCTTCCTTGTGCTTGTCCAGCTCAAGACATTTCAACAGACAAGCTGCCATCACGGTGCGTTTGAAAAGGTCTGAAACAGATCTGGCTTCGGTGTTGCAAATGAGGTGGAAAATTGGGGCAAAATCAAGAGAATCATATTGGTTATTTTGATTGAAAGCAAGGGTGCGTTTTTCATCAGGAGAAAGAATTAGCTTTTCTTCATGAGACTTCTTGAGAAATGTGGAGAGAAACTTCAGATCCGTCATTGTGAGTATTCTAACGGCAAGCAGAGACATTTTTCCCATGTCGAGTTGGACCACAGCAGATGAATATTTGCATTCAAAATTGTGGTACTTTTGAGCAGCAGCTTCGAGGCAGTCGTTTCCACAATACATGACCTGAAAAAATAATCATTAGAAGATTGATTTTTAATATTTTGATTTAATTTTTACATTGACGCAGACAGGGCAGGGCACTAATGCATTATAGCGTTTGAGGCAAAAACTGCAGTGGGTTGTCAAAAACTCAGGAAGGAGAATCCAAGAGTACGGTTGCTCGACCATAATTACGTCACCTAAGAGTTGTAATAATTATTAAAATGGATAATGTTGCAATTCAAAAGGAAAATTACCAGGTTCAATATCTCTTGTAGCACAAATGTGACGGCCCATCTCATCTGAATATTGAATTTTTACGCAGCTAGATGCACAAATTATTTCTTCATTTTGGTCAAACGACTTTGCCGGCAGAGGTGCACAAGCCAAATTGGGTTCTTCAGGATTTTTCACAGCTCCTTTGCAATTGACAATCAATCTGGCGATGATTTGCAGTTGTTCTTGGCACTTCTCTTCATTCAAATTTGCTTGCTTGATTTTATCTTGAGCCTCGAGAAAGGTTCGGATGGCTTCCTCTTGCTGACCAATATTTATGAGACACTCACCTTTCCTGATCAAAATCTTGAATGCCAAGCTTTCAGGAAAATTGAGATTCAATGCTCTGTCTATGTCGGCTAGGCAGTCGTGGTACTTTTTGAGAGATTTCAGTACAGCAGATCGATTTCCATATCCCAGAGCGAGCATCTTCGAGTCGGCTGGTGCAAAAAGAATGCTCTTTGTGTAAAAGTCCAAGGCCTCCAGGTCGAGTTTCCTTCGGAATTTTTCATTGCCAGCCTCTCTGAGTGAGCTGGCCTTAATTTCAGACTTCTCTGCGCAACCTGGGAGGCTGTGAGGCGGTACAAAATCATTTAGAAGGGGCTCCACAAAATTGTACCGTTCGTAATCGGTGGACAGAGCACCAAACTGTTTTGACGTCGATTCGACTTCTCCTGTTGATTTCAGTCTCGAACAAATGTTGGCGAATATATTTTCGAAATTTGTCTCGTCGTTGGAGTCCATAATTTGTCTAATCAGTGCAATTTTAAGGGCTAAAATGTAAAAAATGTGAGCAGCCGACTGCTCAGGAGCCCCACATTGTTGTTTCTTGAGCTTCTGATTTTACCTGCTAGAGGCGCTTGAATCACGCAGCAGCCAATCAGAATGCAACCTGTGGAATCAACAACCAATGGGAGAAGAGAAAACAAGAACAGACTTGTTTTACTCAAGGTGTTTTACTCCTGCTCCCGCCGTTTCCTTCATTTGAGTCATACACATGATTGTTTTTGGTATAATTTGAGTTTTGTTCATACAAAATCAATCAAAAATTCACAATGAGAAGATCAAATGCTCCATCAGCTTTGCGCTCTAAATTGACGGTGACCTCATCTTCAGTCACCCCTAATCAACAGCAAAGGAATGCTTCGTTTAACGCCCTGAAAGGTATGTATGTATGTTAATGGAAATGATGAACATTTAAAAATTGGTGGAATCTCTTATAATTGTAAGGAAATTTTTTAATTAACACCACAAAAAATTATTCAAAATGTTTTAAGGACGTGTTAACTTGACAATTTTCTTCTTCAGCTTTGAATGCAAAATCGGCCAAATCACCACCACAACCAAATGAAGAGGAACCAGAAGGCGATGCAAAGCGCAGTGCCAGCAGGATTTTGAGCCTACTTGGAGGGAATGTGACTCAGCCATCAAGTGAAGAAGAAAGTCTGCCTGTGGAAAGCGTCCAGAAAAATGTTCCAGTCCAGCATAAAACTCATCCCATCAAATTACCTGCTTTGGGAAATAATAGCCTTGATTTTAAGGATGAGACAATTATCAAAGAAAAAAAATTGTCAGAGAAAAGGTATGTATTAATGATATTTTTAAATATACTTTGAATGTATATATTAATCTAATATTAAATTATTTTCAATAGAATCTATGAGGCTGTCTACAGAAAAATGCAGACAAAAAAGCACAAGACCTGGGAAGGTGATGGGTCAGTTGTGGTTGACGGCCGCTGTGTCATTCTAAAGGTGCTTTTGATAAAAAAAAATTATAATAAAATACATTAAATTTTTATTTGTAAAGGACGAGAATGGTAAAGAGATGGGCAGAATTTCTAAAGTGAAAGATGACATTGTACTTGAAGAGGGTACTCAACTCGTAATCGGTGGAAAGGAAGTTGAGGTACAAAACTTTATCAAAAGTTAGATTTTGTTAATTGACAATGAGATATTTAGTTTCTGGGACTTGTCAGCAAAGTGGTTGTCGAGGCGGAGAAGAGAAAGCCAGATTCAACCTTCGCTCAGCCCAATCGAAAAAGGTTTCAACTAAGCAGAGAAAATGACGTGAATGAAGAATGGTACCTAGAAATGCCCAAGCCAAGCCCAAAACACCAGGTAGAAGAAAATGAGGATTGTGAATAAATTATATTCCTTCAAAAAGATATGATAATTTATTATTAAAAAAAAATCTTACCCGGCCTATTTTATTTCTTTCCAGTTGATATTTAATCCCGAAGGGCGCCCAGTTAACACAGTGACAGTTGATGGATTTTTGGCACGGCACTTACGTCCTCATCAAAAAGAGGGAGTAAGGTTCATGTACGAGTGTCTCATGGGGATGACAGGCGATGAGCCTGGAAAATATCAGGGCTTGTTATTGGCTGATGAAATGGGTCTCGGCAAAACCATTCAATGCATTGCTGTGATGTGGTAAATTTTTACAATTGTGTGAGAACTTTCAAGGCATCTTTTTCTAATATAGGACGCTTCTAAAACAAAATGTCTATGGAAGGGATCCTGTGATTAAAAAAGTGTTGATTGTCACGCCAAGCTCTCTAGTTAAAAACTGGGACCGTGAAATCATTCATTGGCTGAAGATTCATCGTTTGCGAGTCTTCATCGTAGGAGACGTAATTTGTTTTTACTTTCGTTGCATATTATTACTGTTCAAATATTTTTCTCTAGAAAAAGTTTAAAGATTATGGGACAACCAGACAAGATCCTGTTGTGATCTGCTCATACGAAGCCTTGATTAGAAACATTGATTATGTCTGTCAACTCCGTTGGGACTTGCTCATCTGCGACGAAGCTCACAGAATAAAGAACCCTCAAGCAAAAACTTCACAAGTAAAGAATTAAAAAATATAATGAATCAGGTACTAACAATAAATCTTTTTAAGGAACTGCGGCGCTTGCAGTGCAAACGCAAAATCCTCTTAAGCGGCAGTCCGTGTCAAAACAACATGATGGAATATTTTGAGCTCTTGGATTTTGCAAATCCTGGGATTTTTGGAACTCGACGAGGTATTTTCTGATGAATAATCATGTATAATTTTTATTCATTGGTATAAATTTAGATTTCATGACTCAGTTTGCAACTCCCATCGAGAGAGGCAACCTTGCTGACTGCAAAGACGAGGAAAAAGAATTAGGCAAAGACAGGAAAGAAGAGCTTTTGAGACTGACTTCACCTTTTGTGCTTGGCCGCCCTGCAGAACTCAATCTGCAGTACTTGCCACCAAAACAGGATCTCATTCTTTACTGTGCTGCCAGTCCGTTGCAGGTGTAGTTATCAAAATTAAATTTACATTTTAATTAGCTTACAATTTTGGTGTTGATTTTTGTTAAAGGAGGATTTGTATCGCTCAACTCTCAGTTTTTACTGGGGCGATGACGAGGTCTGGAAAGAAATGGACATATCAACAGCAAACAAAAACGCGTTGGGAGCCATCATTAGCCTTAGGCAAATTTGCAGTCATCCGCAACTTATGAAACTCCGACCAGAAGACTTGGAAAACGAAGAGGTTACTTTGATATTTTATTTCAAAGAATATTTTTTTATGAAACTGAAATTGACAGGGTAAATTGAGGAGGCAGTTACAACAGGAGCTCCAGTCAGGAGGACATCACTTTGACTTTGTCGATATGTCAGGGAAACTCAAAGTTGTTGCTTCGATCCTTGAGTTTCTGCATGAGGCTAACAAGGAGAAGATTGCTGCAGGCCATAGAAGTCAGATTGACCGAGTGCTGGTGGTATCGTACTTTGTTGAGGTACACATTGAATTGAACCCTTTTTTATCAGTTCACATTTATATTTCTTGATTATTTGCAGACTCTGAAAATTCTCCAGAAGCTGTGTGAGCAGAAAAACTTTACATTCAGCAAGATTGATGGGCAAGTGCCTTCAAAAGACAGGATGAAAATTGTGACTGATTTTAACAATCCCAATTCAAAAACATGTAAATTTTTTTCAAAATTTATAAGTTTTGTATTATATTATTTTTTCATTCTAGTTGTTATGCTTCTTAGTGCCAAAGCTGGTGGTACCGGCTTGAATCTGGACGGCGCCTCTCGAGTGATTCTTTTCGACTTGGACTGGAATCCAGCAAGTGATGCTCAGTCACTTGCTAGGGTCTGGAGAGGAAGGCAGAAGAGACCTGTGATCACATATAGGTTTAATGAATATTTGGTGGTTTATTTTAAATAACTAATTGAATATTTTTGTTAGACTTCTAACCTCTGGGAGTATTGAGGAGAAAATCTTCCAGAGACAAATCCAAAAGATGGGAAATGATCCATCTAAAAGTACAAAATCTGGCCTGAAATTCACCAAGCAAGAGCTAAAGGTTGATTGAAATATAATTTGAAAACTTTTTTAACTCTTGTTTTGTCACTTGCAGGATTTATTCTCATATAACCCTTATGAGGAAGGCAAAAACCAAACGCATTCCGTTTTGTCTTGTGAATGTGTCTGTGATGGTTCCAATGTCACCTCGGAGCAATCTCACGGTGACAGCTTCTTCGAATTAAACCAAGAAGATCAGCTTGATTGTCGCTTTCCTCACATAAACGAACTCTCCCTCTGGCAGCACATTAGCTGTGAAAATTTTGACCAACAACTTCTGGACGTAAGTCACCCCTTAAGGCTCTCCTTGAGATATATAAAATTAATCAAAACTTCTTATAGGATCTCAATCTCACCTATGCATCAGGAGTCATCAACTTCATTTTTCGCTCGCAGTTATTGTCAAGCAAATAAAAATGGTAAGAATAATCTTCCTATATACGCACACAAAATTTCATGTTTGGTAAATTTGTATTAGTGAAAATACTGAAGAGAGGTATAAAAACTAGAAAAATTTACTCTATATTAACAGAGATAGCTCACAGAAATATTATTGCGGCTATTAGCCGTATGAATAAATAAGGACGAGAAATTGACTCAACTTAAGATAAAATTTAATTTAGCAAGCGGCCTATATCTCTATCATTGGAAGCTTATGAAAAAATGGCACTTTTGATTTAAATTGAATAGACAGTTTAACAAATCTATGGCAAAAATAATATTATATTAACAATCTAAATTTAAATTAATATAAAACGCCTTTTTCACGTGCGAGCAATTCAGGGCTTGCTTTTTTGCAACTGCTCAAAGTTTTCCCATTATTTTAGATTTTATCGCTCGTCGCATGTAATTTGGGTTGAGTTTTTAAAACTACCAGGCTGGCAGTGGCATTGAAAGTCACGATCGTCACTGTGACGTTTTCAAACGAGAGCGGACGTTTGCTCCAGCACTAGCTTTGAGTGTCTCTGTTGCCAACTCCAACCTCGCATCACAAAATATGCCAAAAACTGCGTTTTCTAAGTTCCCAAAAATGTGAGAAACCAAAATGTTGCGGTCCGTGGTAATCCTGCTGGTATTCTGGTCATTGTCTGCAAGCGGCGCAAATTTATTTGAAATTTTGCAAGCAATTATAGCCACAAACGACTCCTCTAATATGGTAATAATCTTTTTCAAAAAATCACTGGATTTTTTTTTATTAAATTTCTGTATGAAGCAGGACGACATTATGTCCAGAATGCAGCAACAGGTTTTGATACCTAACAATAAGAGTAACTCGAAAAATTCCACTGCCGAGGAGGACGATAAAGAGTGGCAGTCCGACAAGGGCAAATTTGTCATGCGAATGCCCCCATGGACCAAAAGCAACAGCAGAGCAAATGAAGTTGACCGATCAAAAGTTATCCAAGTGGCTGCAAGCAATATGCAGGATTATGATCTTGAGGAAAGCTTCGAGCGACCTGTAATCGCAGCAACCTCGCCCGATCCTTGGGCCACTGGTAGAGACCTAGAGACTATTTCTCAATAAATCCACCCATCTTGCATCAACCAGTAATTTTCTGCTAGTATTTTTTTTTTTTTCAATTAACGGAAGTTATTTTCGTATTGAATAAAAGCATCGTTTTGATTCAATTTTAGTAAAAAAAAAAATCATAATTTAACAAATTTATAAAATATTGATGTGGATGGTAATAAATTTTATCAAATTATCAAACAGGCACAATTAGAAGTCCTGCGACTGGGGAAGATGATGATGAGAAAGAAGAACCCACACTTCCTATGCTGCCCGAGCTTCCAGTGGGAACTCCAGCTTTTGACGTATTTGCTGGGAAAAAGCTCACTTCCAAAACGCAAAGCAAAACCACTATGACAACCACAAAAAATTACATCAAATTTACCAAAACATTAGCAGGCAATTCTTGGGGAAGAGTGTCAAGATATACTACTAAAAGTGGACGACAAACCACAACATTTTTAAATAAACTCGAAGACACAACTGTGTCCAATGGCAGCGAGTCAGACACCGAATCGAATACAAGTTACTTTGAATTTGAGAATTCCGACCAACGCAGTGAAGGCAGAAATTATGACGACTCGGGCAGTGAAATTGACGAAGTAACAACTTTACTTGATGAAAACAATGTGAGCGTTACTGTTTTTAATGAAGACGATGCAAAAAACGTGCAAGGCCGTTCGCTAAATGAAAATGTATATGGGAAAACGTTAAGGGATGAGTTTGCACCTCGCAGAACAACCACTGAGCAAGACCTGAGGCAGTTTGGTGCAGAATTTTTACCACCAAATTGGGGAAAGAAGGACACGACAGTGTCAAAACAAGAAGGCATTTTAAAAACGACGCGGTTTGATTCCAAACGGAAAGTTAAGTTAAAAATTAATGATCACAGTGGCTTGCATATGCAAGAGAAGTTTAAATAATATTTTATGTAGTAAATTATCGTTTTATTTTATGCAAATATATCCTCTTCAGTTTATATGAGTGCAACTCTGAGAATGAATGATCTATTTAAAATTTAATTAGTTATTACTAATTTATTTACTTGTAAAGAATTGAAGCAGTTGCAAAGTTTTAGAAAAGTGCAATTAACAAAATTTATATGCGCATGAATTTTATGACATAAAATGTTTTCACTGATAATTTGGGTGACTTCACAATTTACTTCTGCACTTATACTCGTCAAGTTAAGGTTTGCTGGTAGCAAATTTTCACTAGTAGATTTATGCCGTGTTATGCAACTGGCACGACAGCCTTGTTGGCCAGGTTGCATTTGGTTGCAAAACAATGAAATCAGAATGGAAATTTGAAATCATTATAAGCGTACAGTATTTTTTTTTTTTTTTTTTAATTTTGGTATTTTAGTATTTTTAAAATTAATATTCTTTTAACGTTTTATTTACTCTTCTGCTGCTTCTCTGATACTTACTTATTTTCCTGAGGAACTATGCATCACAAAATTAAAAAAAGCTACAATAATAACAACGCAAACTTACATTATACAATAGGAAAATTCTGTTTCAGCAAGAAAGCATTTCTTTTATTTGATTTACTCTTTCCTAATCTATTAAATGAACAAGTTCAATGACGAATAATCATGAATCAATCAGAATCACATACCTCAATGAGCACAACAACATACAACTAATCAGATATGCAATATGAAAATGAAGCATGTAACATTTCCAATCTTCAAAAGTTTTAAGAGAAACTATTCAACATGTTGCAAAAAAGCAGCATCACTCATGTTTTTATATTGGTTTTAAATAAATTTTAAAATATTATTAAATTGTATATATATTATATTTAAAATTTTGTTTAACTTTTGTTTATTTTTTTATTAAATAATGTTTCGCATAATTTTATTATTAATTAAATATTTAGTAGTGAAGTTGTTTTGTTAAAATATAATTTATGTAAGCCAATGTAAATCATCTCATTACTCTTAATTATTATTGCATTCCCTGCAACAGTAGATGAAACTGGACAACCATTGTTGTGTAAGCTACGGCACTTCCCAAAAACTACAAACGTGTAAAATTGATCATTGAAAATAAAAACAAGCTCAATTTAATCACCGTGTTAAAGAGTTGACTGTCCAACCTGAACAGCCCGTGTATCGAAAATTGCACATGTTTGCAATGCTCTACTTGACGCTTGAAGAAACGCATCTATTAAATTATTCAACATTTTTTATGATGAAATCATCACAAAAGATATTCAATAAATTTTACCTCCTCTTTGACATCCAAGTTTTTAATCTGACCACTGGCTCTTGTCAAAACCATCTTTGTTGCGTTCAACTAAAAATACATTGAATCAAAAATCGATTAATTATCTTTTTGTTGAATACTTCGGCAATTGTCTTATCGCACTCCCTTGTGAAGGAATAGAAAATAGGCACCACAAAAAGTATAAGTAAACTTGTTCCAACAAAAATGTGACAGCGTTGACTTGAATATATGTAATAATCTTCCAAATCCCCGATCGCGATAAAAAGGAAATACAAACAGTAAATTAAGTAGAGAAAATTGTTGACCACAGAGATTAGCAAGATGGATTGAAAATTTGATACTAAAGTTTCAAGCGATGTGCACAAGTTTTCGTGGAGATTCTTCAAGTGAAGCACTTGTTGGCATAATTCTTGGGCTTTGCATTGCAAGCTTGGTAAACTCTGAAAGACCAAAATAAATAATTATCATTTGTATTTTTTGCGTTATAATTGTTATGCGTATTTTTGTATTATACAAACCTTTACTTTTAAATTTAAATCTTGAAATAGAAATCTCGTCATTTTTACGGTGAGTAGAAATTTTGATTGCCAAACAAAATTTACCAAGACGAATACAGTATTTTGTATGACTTGCACTGTCTCCGCTAAGGTTCCGCCACCATAGGTAGAAATCTCGTTGCAGCCCAAAACAACATAAAATGCTAGTGTCAAAAAGAATCGGCGAATTGCTTTTGAGACTTTAGGCACCATCTCATTTTCACAGTTTAACGTGTTGCGAATTTCCTTTAATTCATCTAGTATTTTTCTAAAATTTTCGCCTTTGGAAAAGTGCCAATATGCAGCGTAATAAACAAAAGCGCACGAACAAAACTCGAAAGTTGTCGCAACGCACAAAATTGTGGTGTTCTCTGTTTGACGTAATTGTATGTGATTAAAAAAGTAAATTGTGGTATAGTACGCGGAAACAATCGCGGTGATGATTAGAAATAAAATATGATGAAACAAAAATAATAATTTTGTCGTCCTGTCTTTGGAGGGCACGTGAGCGTAGAATGCAGACGCAGCTATTAAGAAAATATGCAAATGCCGCTCCATGCTCTTCACCTTACATTAGAAGTGTCCTTTTTCACGAGGCCGCGGTCTCAAAACTCGATCAATCAAATAGCAATGAAATAAAAAATTCATAATTCACAGTCCCCAATTATTGTAAGCGCAAGCAGACTTAGGTCATCTACTCTTGATGACAGGATTGTCAACAGTCATCAGTTTAAATATTTAATTATATTATTTGCATCATCAAAAATTTTAGTATAGTCAGGTAGTAAATTTAAAAGTATTAATTAAAATACTTTCAAATAAGAAAATAATAAAAATAATAAAATATTTATAAATATATTTAAAAACGGTGGCTAATTATTTTTATAAATTTAATTAATTATTTTATTCAAACTTATATTATTTAGTTTTAGACTTTAATTGTCATTTCTCTTTTAAGCATCCCATTAATAAAAATGATGTCATTTACATTTTCCTGAATTAATACTCTTATATGATGTAATTCAGCTCTGAAAACTTGCGAATTATTACTTCAGGCTTGTTCCTTAATTTAAGAAACAATCAATTATTTTATTGGAACAATTCTACAGGAAAAATAATAATTTCAAATATTTCTGTTTATACGCAGAGTCAAAGCTTCTAAAACAGTTAAAAATAATTATTGTGATGAGAGCGATTGGTACAGTATATCGCAGTATATGAAATTGAACGATGGTGGCCAAGTAAGCCAAAAACAGAGCCAAGAATCTGAAAATTGAGTTTAATCATTTTTAATTCAAACTACAGTGTTTTTAGTTCACCGTACTAAACAGATGCTTGTCTATCTTGAATAGGCCGAAAATATTGTAATGGAAACCTTTATAGTGGAAAAGTTCTTCCTGAAACAATTTGCACTGCGATGTTAAATTTAATTATTATTAAAAATTATATGACAAAAATCAATACCTCCTCTTGGACGATTGAGTTGTCCCTATATTTCATTTCAACTTTTAGCAAATGAAGAGATGTATTTTGACCCTTGAAAGTTGTTCAAATTTATTATATTTAACTGTTATTTAAAATTAAATTTACCTCATCAACGGCATTGCTCGCTTTGGTGCAAAAGTAAAGAAGCTCGCATGTGAAGAATAGAACAAAAGCACTCGTGGCTATAGCAAAATAATTTCTCGTCTCAAGCATGTTTTTGTCTAAATTGAAAATCACGTTTATTGCGAAAAAACTTCCTGTCGTGATGTCATAGGATTTCAGCAAATTCGAAATAAAAAGAGCTGCCGAAAAGCAGTCGCTTGTTTCTGGAATAGTTTGACAGATTTCGGAATGGATATTTTTTAAATTTGTAATTTTGTGAGACATTATTTTGACGCTGTAATTTTCCGTCTGCAAATCCTGCATGAAGAAAATCTTAATTTTTTATTGAATAATAGATAGATTTTTACTCACATCAATGCTTTTGTTCAGTCGGTGGAATAATTTTTGCGTGGCATCAACAACTGAAATAAAAAGAAGCTCAGTGTCAACCCAACTTGATGTGATGATGTTTGAGATAATCATCATAAGTAAATCTTGATATTCATTTGACCAGCCCATGGAGTCAATAACAAAAAGTATAATATTTAAAGAGTTAAAAACAACAGATCTTTTAAAGGTAGCACGGTTGACTTCACTGAGGAATTGTTCTTTACAGCGTAAACTTTCAGATAAGCGATCGAATCGCCCCAAAATACGAATCCATTGCTTTCTTTTGAACAGCATAAAATTGATTTGTGCGATGATAATGAATGCAAACAGCATTGTATGTGCGACGCTAATTATGAAGATGACAACATTGTTGCTTGTGTTTGCGATTTCTTCTGGCTTGTCTCCAATTAGGTCGCGATAGAAGTCCCTCGACACAAATGCAAGGAGGAAGATCTGCAGCGAAAACGAATAAATTATCCACGGCGTAGAAGTTCGTGAAAAAGTTGAAGGGCCAAGAAAGGCTAGTGGAATTTGCACTGGACGAAGCGCTTCTTCACAGGTTTTCATGATTTCTGAACTCGATATTTGAGCAAAATGGTGCAAAAAAGAGACTTCAAATGACACGTAGTATAGCAGTTAATTGGGAAGAAATATAGATTTATCGATTATAATATGACAATTTCACATCCCCTCAAGTTAATACGTGCGTGTAATCTTGCTTGATTACAAATGCTCTTCAATTTGACTAATTAACCGATAATACATCACAAGAATTTAAAGATTAAATTAATAATTTTATCTATAAAGTCATTAAATTATTTATTTGATTTTTAATAACGTACAATTCTCACAAACCTTGGAATAATTTTAATAAATTGTGCCGAGAGCGTCTTCTCCTTCAGGGTAGTGGAGCCCTGGAATGACCTTCCGGCCGCCCTGAAAGACTGCCCTGTGGACCAGTTCCCAGCCCTCTGCAAAGAGTACCTGTGGCGGAACTTTGACCAGTGATTTCCCCCAAATGTGATTTTCCCTCCCCATTGAGGCTCGTTTCGGCATGAGACTTCTTCTTGATTTCGAGTGTTTTAGCAAAATGTTTGCTAGAGGCGGCGCCTTTTCTTGTCCAAAAACATTTCCCTCCCAAAAATTGTTATCTCAATTTTTCTTTGTGATCTGTGCATATAACATGTATGTAATATTTGTCGGACAGGAATAAACAACAATAATAATAATAATAATAATAATTATAATTTTGGTATATATTTCGAAGACGAAAAACATAATTAGAGTGCCGATGGTTAAATGTACTTTATGTATCATTTAAAGACATGACAATAAGTTGGAACTGAATAATTGTGACCAAATATGCCACGGTGGCTCCTGAAATCTGGATTAATGTTAATGATTAAATTTCAAAAGATGAAAAATGCAAGTGTACCATTGTGAAAAGTTGATAGTCAATGTTGCAAAGACCACCCAATGTGTAGCTCACGTTCTTGTAATGCAACAGTTCTTCTCGAAAAAGTTTGCACTAGCACGAATTATTACATTTGGCATATAAAAAATATCTTTTTTATTACATCTTCAATTAATTGGAAATCCTTTTCTTTCTTCATAAGTTCGAGTTTAAGCAGATCAAGAGCTGTATTTCTTCCCTAAATTATCAATAAATGAAATTTGAATTACAAAGGATTTTTTTCTTTTTTAATTGCCAACCTCCTGAACAGCTGCATTTGCTTTTTTACAGAAGAAAATGAGCTCGCCGTAAAAAACAATAGCAGAAGAGAATGTTGTAAATGCGACTATGCCAGGGGTTCTATCTGCATTAAATTTCTTGTCCATGTAGAAAATGTCAATAATCGAGTAATATATGCTTGTCACTATGTCCATGAATTGAATAAGTGACGCGACCACAAGGACTTGAGCAAAGCAATTATTTGTTGCTGGTATTATTTGACTTATGGCTGCGTGAGAAGTTTTCAGCGCTTGGATCAAATTATCTGGCTCTTGCTGCACCTTTAAATTCTAACAAATATTTAAAATAATAAAATCATGAATTAAATTTTTTATTTAACCTTAACAGTAAAATTAATCCGCTGAAAGAGTTTTTGCGTTGCTTCCGTGACGGAGTAAAACAGCATTTTGCTGTTCATCCAATAGACGGTGGCCATCGTAATTAAAACAATGTCTAAAAATGGTGTCTTACCGAACCAAGACAAGTTATCTCCCAGATAAAGGAGAAATCCCACAATATTTAAAACGCCTGAATTCAACTTTGCAGATCGATTCACGTCCTTCAAGTACTCATCTTTGAAATTAAGTTTCTCCGCAACTTCGTCACACATCTTGGCAATGCAGACGAATTCATTCCTCTTGCCAAATTGAAAGAAGACGAGCGTTGCTAGCAGAGTTATGTGCAGCGTGTGGTGAACAACTTGTATGGCATGGACGATAGGTGAATCTCGCATCTCAACATCACCCCAATCCAGATAAACCCTCTCTGCAATTTTATAAACCTGATAAAGGCTGAGCGAAAATCCGTAAATTAAAAATTGGGCTGATAGTTTTGGAGAAGTTTGAATTCCGCTCAAAGCCAGCGGAAGCCGCGCAGGCCAGAGAGCTTTGATGGTTGATTTCATTGTAATGCTGTCAACGCAATGTTATATTTTATGGTCAAGATCAATTTTAATCAATCAATTTGGTTTATTGTGAGCCAAATTTGAGATAAATAAAATAAAATTAACTGTCACATGAATTGAACAAACCAATTTGATAATTATTGCTGATTACATTTTTTTCTGAAATTTCTAGTCGTTGATAAAACAAACAGTCAAGTAAGAAGGTTAGGAAATATTGATTTAATATAAAATGCAAAAATTTCATTATCTTTCTTATGTGCATTGAGGACAATGCGTCATGATTCTGCTGCTCGATTGAAGAGCAAAGCTGAGGATTTCAATTGAAAGGCCAAGCTCTTAATTAAAAAGAGCATTTCGTCAATTGGAAGTTGCGTGTGCGCCTGCCAGTGACCAAAATAATATACTTATTGCAGCCTTGTCGTGCCATTGAAGGTGAGCGTATTTTTTTTTTCACGGCGTAAAAAAGCAAGTAAACAAGACGAAATATGCATCTGAAAGGAAAAGCGTTGATAATGTTCGAGGTGTTATTCAAGCAGTGGAAAATTACGGCCAGTCGGCGCCATGCCTCAGCCGGACCCTGTTATCACCGCTCTCGGCTCTTTCGGCCCGTGGCAGGCACGTTCGCTGTTCCTCGTTGCCCTGGTCAAGATTCCGGCGGCCTGGCAGATGATGAGCATTTTGTTTCTCGCGTCCAGCCCGGAAACTTTCGGAGGCACTTATTTTTGCGCCAGGAGCGATCCCAATCGATGGACGCCTCAGGAGTGGATTGAAAAGTGGCACCCAAAAAGCAAGGTCGATAATTTTAATAAAACACGTACTTTTTAAAATTAAAGTAGTTTTAAATTAATTTGCAGCAATATTTGAATGGTTTTGATCCTTGCTACGTCTATGAAAGTTTTTATAATGAAACCGATGAAAGCAGAAATTTGGTCGAATGCAAAAAATTTGAGTTTTTAGTGGACAGACCAACAATTTTAACAAAGGTAATTTTTTTTAATAAAATAAAATTAATTGATTTAATTTAATTTATTTTTAAACTTATTCTTAATTTTTAGTGGTCATTGGTGTGCGATAGGAACAAATTGATAAACACTGTGCAGTCTTTTTATTTGTTCGGCATATTCTGCGGAGGTGTCGTTAATTTTCTACTCTTGAAAAAGTAAGGCCACAATAATATTTGTTTCATATTCGCATTAAATTTTTTTTCTCGCATATCACGTTGACAGGATATCGCCGCGGGCGGTAATTTTGGTCGGCGCTGCGTTGCAGGTGGTCGCGGGCATTGCGTTGGCTTTGCAGCCAATTTACGAAATCCACTGTTTTCTCAAATACCTGATTGGCTTGAGTGCGTGCATAATGTTTTCCGCTGGATTTCAAATAAGTAAGAATTTCAATAAAGAATAAATTGCAAGAATATTCAATTGAAATATTACAGTCGTTGACGTCACTGATGGTTGGCAAAAGCTGGCTCTTGGTGTGTGTTATGAGCACTTTTGGTCGATAGGAGCGCTAACTTTAGGCTGGCTGAACGAACTGGCTCGTTCGTGGGTTAATTTGCAATTGATCATCACAGTACCGACGTCGATATTCCTCTTTTTATTCTGGTATAATTGATTTCTCAGCCGGTAGGCAAAATAAAATCTCCTAATAAGGGCTCTACCAGACTCGCCCAGATGGTTCATAGCGCATGGAAAAATGGAACAAGCTGAAAAAATTTTGAAATCGGCTGCCAAATGCAACGGGAGAAAACTTCCTCCAGATTTCTCAATACCAGGACCAAAAAAGTATAAAATTTAATCTAAAATTTCTGAGAATTTTAAACCCAAAGAAAACACTCAAAATCAAAAGGGAAATAATTAAATTAGAAAGTAGTGTGTGGAATTTGTCACAAGTTACTAATCTAAAATTTACCAAAATTGCAATCCATTTTTTATAATAAAATTTGAAGATATAAATATTTTAATTAAAAAAATCAAATGATTACATAAATATGTTTTTCAATTTTTTAGAGCTACAAATGGAACAAAGCCACAGCCTCTACCTAAATTGAAAATTTTCTTCCTTCAAATAATTTGGATTTCTACAATTGTGACTTACTACGGAGGACTTTTAAACTTCCGAAGCGTTGGCGGCACGGATTTGCCAAGCAGGACAACTATTGCCGGTTAATTATGATAATTATTTTTAAAGAAAGGCTAAATATCTTTAATCTTATTAGGTGGTGCCGAAATAATTGGCACCTCAATAGGCCTGCTTTTGGTGCTCAAGCCAAAGTACAAAATCGGCTTTATGAGTTTGTTATTGTTCATTGGTGGCACTTGCTGCGTTTGTTCCTGGGCCGTTGCTCCAAACGGTGATTTTAAATTTATATTTAAAAGTGCAAGAATTATAATTTTGCTTATTCAGACATGGGCAGCAGAGGTGGCTGGACAATGGTCGGATTAGCCGTTTGCGGCAGAATTTCAATCGCCTGCTCTTTAGCCGTGATGACGAACGGCGGCACGGCCGAATTTATTCCCGTCGCGAGGAGGCCCGTGACTATTATGCTTTTACTAACTGGAGGCAGATTTTTCCTCATGGGAGCTCCGTTTCTCAATTCGTTGGTAAAGAAAAACCAATAAAATTAAATAAAAACATTAATATTTTAATTTCAGGCCTTTTACGCTGACAGCATAACTCTTTCTGCTTACGGAGTTTTAATTTTAATGGCCGCAATAAGTTCCCTTTATTTATTTATCACTTCCGAGTGCAGTGAAGAGAGTTTCTCAGCATCTAATGCCATATCAGCTGTGGGCGTTTCTAGCGTTTGGAACATTCAGAAGGCGGCAGAAAGGTAATCGACTCGGAATGTATTTTTTATTATTCAAATAATTATTCTTATTTTTTCAGCAAAACTGACAAGGAAATTGTGTGCACGCACTTCAATCCCTGTTTCGTCGGTGACGATGGAATTGAAAGAGTCATTTAGAAGAAAAGCATTAAAATATATTTATTTTTTCTAAAGAGATAAAATTCAAATGCCTGTCAACTCCCTGACAAGTATGTGAAACTGCATTACTGTAGCGATATAAGCAATGGTAGCAGCAAAAGCCTATTATAATAAATGTAAATTAAATTTTAATTAATTAAATAAAATAACTCACTTGTGCCAAAAATTGCCTGTCAATGTTAAAAAGTCCGTACACAGAAAACTTGCATTTTTCGTTTTGAAAAGCTCTATGTTTTAAGATCTTTGCCTGAAAATAATTGTGTAATTTAGAAGCGATCAAAAATTTTATTTTAAATTTTGTACCTCATTTGCATTTCTCTCATTCTTTCCCGCAATTTCCAATCTCAAAAGCAACTGACTCGTTTTTCTGGCCTAAAAAACTATGATTTATTCAGAAAACTGGAAAAAAATAATTATAATTTTACCTCATTTAAAGTTCTGTCACATTCCACGCAGATTAAAATGCAATGCACACATGAGGCGACCAGCCACGTTAGTGTGCCAATTGCTTGCGAGATGACTTTGTTGAAGTAGCCAGAAGAAACGTCAAATATCATCAAAATTAGGTAATAGGTACTTGTGACAATATTTAGGAATGTCATTGGCAGGGAAAATATTTCCACGACCTGGAAAATGGTGCTCGAACTTTCAATTAAATTGCACATACGTGAGTGCACTTCCAAAATATTTTCCAGATCATCCACACGTTCTATGCTAAATATTGCTGATTCAATCCGGCCGTTCAGGTGGAGCAAAATTTCTTGAATTCCGAAAGCGATGAAAATTAATTTCATATCAAGTAAACGGCCCATTGCCGTAGCTATCGTGCCTACAATTACGCTTGACAACGTAAAGGCATTTTCGACCCAGTTGAAATATTCTTCAAAGGTGAGAATGGAACTCGAAAAAGCAATGTAAAGAAATAAAAATGTCGACTTTCTGGTCATTTTGTATTTGTAGATATGTCGATCGGAAATATTTTCATCCAAAAAACTAAAAAGTGATGAGTAGGATTTTCTGTGCACGAGTTGAAAATAAACTGATGATGCCAAATGCAGATTTGCCATGGCCTGATGAAAAGACCATGTAATTTTCAATCAAGATTTAAAATATTTTAATACCTGATATGCAAAAGCTATGAAAGATATTGCTGGGTTGATTTCATCCTTTTCATTTATATTTCGAAATGATTGTTGCAAAACATAAATGAACAGTGTCAGGACAATGGCATGGATTGAGACGCAGTATGCGATGTGAAACTTTGAGGAATCTCCGATGGCTATTCCGAAAAATTTTGATAAAACCAGTAAAGGCCGAGCTGCCTGTTTTGTTAAACCCTTCGCACCCATTTTTCTATCCCTACTTATAGTCATCCCAAAATAAGACCCGAGAAAATCAATATTTTTATTAAATTAAATTATACAATCCAATATATTCTGTTATAGATAAACAATTAATTTAAGCTAGTGTATTGATATTGATTTGAGGACGTGTTATTATTACATTAATATTATTATAATTAAATTAATAAATTTATTTTAGTGTTTCAATATGCTAAACATTGATTATCATTTTTCTAAACAAGTACAAAAATTAAATTTTTATGACAAAAACTGCATTTGTGCTGATTAAATTTAATATGAAAGAAGAACAACATGTCGGATAGTTTTTTCTATTTTATTTTAATTTCCAGATTTTTCAGCTATTCACCCGTGAGCTCCAAAGAAAGGATGTGAAACTGCATGGCGGTTACTAAATACGTTATTGACGACACAAATGTCTGCAATTTTCCAATGCAATATTGATGTGATTTAAAATATAATTGATTTTTTTTTTACCTCAGCAAGAAATTTCTTATCCAAATTAAATAGTCCGCAAATTGTGACACAGCATTTTTCATTTTGCAAGGAAATATCTCGCAGAGCTTGAACCTAAAATATTGAAAATAATTATGGGATTTTGTGTTGTTTAAAATATTTTGATCATTACTTCTCCAACCTTGTCGTCACTTTTTACAGCAATTGCCTCCAGTTTTAAAAGTAAGCCACTTGTTTTCCTTGCCTTTTAGTCAAGAATATATAATTTAAAATAGTTTTATCAAAAAAGAGAAAAATATACCTCATTTATCGTTTGATCGCACTCAAGACAAAGGAAAATTGAATGGACGCAGGCACAAATAAACCAGAGAATCACACCCTGGAGCTTGGTATATTTTGTGTTCAAATAACTTTTAGACATTCCGCACATCATAAGAATAACAAAATAGCTTGACGTGATGATGTTGAAAAAGTTCATCTGAAGTGAAAAGAGCAGTACAAATTGAAACAAATTTGCCGTTTTCTTAATCAGCTCGCAAACGCATGTGTGAATTTTCAATTGACGCTCCAGTTCGTAAATTTCACACCGCCCTCGTAGAATGGTCTGGGACAAGTGACAGTTGACCTGTCCGAGAATTGTTCTGATGGCGAAAAAGACCATCAACATTTTCAGGTCCATGAAACGGCCCAGGCACGTGACAGTCCAATTAAAAGCGACGAAACCATGCGAGCCAGATTTTGTTTCAAAATTGATCCACTCGGTAATAAAAAGCATCAAGGTTGGAATTATTATGTAAGCCAAATCGTTCACCGATCTGGTTCGCAAAGCCGTAAAATATTTCCGTTTCGCACCAAGTTCGACGTTTTTGTCGATTTCGGCTAAAATAAATTGATATTCCTTTATTCGAAAGTGGGTCACGGACATGGCCAGGGTGAGCAGAACAACTTCCACCTTCGAAGGCAGAAATTAAATTAACTTTCGAACTATTGATTGAAAATGTTTTAACAACTACCTGATAGAGACACATAACAAAAATCAATGCCATGTTTTGTGTTCCTTTGATCATTCCTAGAAAACCTGAAATGCAGACGTAGATTGACAGGCCGATGAGACCAAAAGATATGCAGGCGCAGTATAATAAATGCAACCAAGATGAGTCGATGCTGGTCATTCCTAAAAATTTCGCCCCAAGCAGGAGAGGTCGAGCGGCACGTGCAGTCAAACCATCCATTTTTTATCGCTGCTCGGCTATAAATGTGTCAACGCAAGTCCTTAAAATAAATAAATGTCACAGCAGAAGCTTAGGTATTGAACAAGAAGTGAGAAATTTATTGATGTGTGTTGCATTAGTCGCATATTTTAGAGTGTATAGAGTGTTACATTAATTGATATAGTACTTTCATGGTTGATAAAAATGGCATTTGAATTAAAACTATAATTAAGAAAATCCAGTCCAAAATATTCTAAAAAATTAATTGATTTAAAATTTCTTAAATTCTATCAAAAACTGAATAAGTAGTTTTAATTTTTAAAATCACTTTTATCGAATAATTTTGGCACGCCCGAAAAATATCTTTCACGTGTAGATGAACGTGCAAGTTCAGTTTTTTAGCCCAATGTTTTAGGGTAAGAAACATTCCTACAATGAGGAAAATTAATGCTCTGCGGCTTCTTCTTTGTTTGTTGGGGGGAAAAAAGCGCCTTCTCATTTGGAACGCTCTACATAGGGCAAAAAACCATTGCACGAGTTTTATTACTTTATATCTGCGGCCAATGGCCGATATGTCATAGATCTTGATAAAAAAATCAATATTTTATTAAATTTCAAGATCAAATTTATTGAACTTAATCAATTAAAAATACATTCACCAAGTTTCTATTATTTATTTTCTTAAATTTAGAGCAGACAATTTTGTTGACCTCGCACAATCGATTTTCATTGATTAATGTAGCTTCAAATGAATTTATGAATTATTAAAATGAAGTAAAGAAAAACTCTTTCGCAGATTAACTGGTTTGTCGTAGCTGGTTGACCGTAAGGTGAAACTGTAATATAGTGGCTGAGAAAGCAAAGGCAGTGCCACAGATCTATGGCAATAAAATTATTACTATAAAATTGATGTCTTCATCTACAGGCTTATTAATACGCACTGAAAAAAGGAGACTCCTGTTTAAGTGAAAAATATCAAATACTGAGTAAACACAATCATAGTGCAGAAGTTGATCTCTGAATAGTTTTGCCTGCAAATATTTTATATTAATTTCATTAATGCAACGTTTAGTAAAGAAACCTCTCTGCGCAAATCACAGTTCTCAAATTCCAGTTTTAAGAGGATTCCACGCACTCTTTTTCCCTGAAAAATGAAGATTCAAATTTTTTTAAATTAATTTATAAATTACGGTTACCTCGTTTGTGGCTTTTTCAAGACTCGAGCACAAATTTAGAAAATGCGTGAATAAAACTGTGCCCCATAAAATGCTGCCAAATATATATTTGAATTTTTCTGTTACTAGTTTTGACTCCAAATCGTAAAAGAGAATAACTAAAAAGTAGATCGTTGAGAGGAAACTGTACATGACCATTGTTAAGGTGGCAAGTAGCACGGTTTGGAAATACTGGTTGGTCTTATCAACGATCGAGCATAAGTTTTGGTGACTGACACGCAAAATTTTCAATCTCTCCTTTGTACACTTTGGGTCCTGCAAAATTTATTTATGAGCTGATATACAAATAAAAACTGAGCCAGTTTTAACTTGCCTTTATTTCAGATGACACTCGCGTAAAAAGGGATTTTGTTGCCCAAGAAATGAGAATCAAACATGTGTCAACCGTCATCCAAAGAACAGTTCCAAACATTACGTGGCCTATATTTAATAGCTCCATCGCATTGCTAATCCACAAACAACTCTCAAGGATTGTCAGTCCAATATAAACGCAGCAAGAAGTGCCCGAATAACTTTTACAAAATAAATTTAATTGTTTTAAATAGGTTGTTTTAAATTTAAGTCTAGTGGCTTCAAGATCAAGTAATTGTAGAATATGAGAAAAATGCTTTGATTTAAAAATATTATTATAAAATATAATAAGGCTCAAAATAATAGTTATTAATTTTTGAATCATGGTGAAAATCGTGAGAGTGTGATTCTCACTGCCATACACAGAATTGTCAGATAACCCCTGGAAGTATTGCAAAAGTATGTGAAGTAATTGAAAAGTTAAAGTTTGAAATACGGCCAAAAGCGATGAGCAGTAAATAGTTTGTAAAATCGAGTTTAATTTTGATCGGCTATCAGCGAATTTCACGCCAACCAAGAGGGCCGGGTGCAGAAAAGGCGAAATCGCTCCGAAAGTGTCTTTGGTTGACATGTTGATGCTCAATTGAGAAAAGAAGTGCTGACAGTTCAAGGGGTTAATAAAATGTCACTAATGGAATTGAAAATTGATTCAGCTCAGCAGCAAAAGAGCTCTTCTTATTCAAATGAATCATGAATTATTGCAACTAACATTTTTTTTTTAATTTTTATTGAAAATTGTTCCTGAGGCACACTTTTTTTTGCATCAACAATTAAATTGAAACTTATATTTTATGCCAATGCAAAAATTATTTTTAAAATTTCGAAAGGCTCATCAATGATGGAAAGTACGAAAGCAAAATAAAAAAATTGAACTGTAGCATCAAAGAAATTTGATTTAGAACTTACGCAGATATAAATTATGAACGAGATGCGCATGATTTTTTTTCACTGATTTTTTTAAATTGTTCTTATTCAACAAGGATAAACAACAACGATGATAGCCTTTCAATCTCATTGAGCGTTTCCTCGAGCTTCCACTTCTTTGTTCAGTTATTTCGGTTTTTCGCTTTTCAATATAGTTAAACCCCATTTAATTGATATTCAAGAATGTGAAATTGTAGAGCGGTTATTATGTAAGTAATGGATGAAGCAGCAGACTAAAAGAAAAATATTGTTGTTATTTGCTAAAAAAAAAAGATTTAAATTGTGCATACCTCAAGAAAAAATTTCTTATCAAGGAAAAATAGTCCATACACTGATATGGCACACATTTTTTCATTCAACAGCGCTCGGATCCAAAAAATCTTCACCTATAGACAAAATTTAATATGTACTTTTGAAATTTTAGAATTGTTCACATATACATGCAAAAATTAAAGCAACCAATTTGTTTAAATTAGGATCAAAATCTTTAAAGAAAAAAGAAGAAACCAACAAATAAATAAAAAACAAATTGTGTGGAAAAAATTGGAAACTGTCCTTTTTGAAACTCACTCTTGAATCAAGCGTTTCAATGGTCCACAAAATTTTACCCGTCTTTTGCAGCTGCAAGTAAATTTAATAGAGTTATAAGAGGACTTTTAAATTAATCAGTACGTATTTCAAAGTACCTCATTAGTTGTTTTATCGCACTCAAAGCACATGTGCGCAATATGAGCAAAGTGGAGCACAACCCAAGCTATGATGCCTCCCAAGGAATAAAAAGAAAGACCATTCTCCATTATTCCAAAAATACTCCCAATGGCGTAGTAAGTGCTTATGAGAATATTAGTGAAGTTCATTGGCAGCGTGAAAATCAAAATTTTCTGAAACTGCCCATTTATTTTAGTGACAAGTTCACATAGGCGCAAGTGCGTATTTAAATATTTCTCCAACAACGCTATATCAACGGGTGCTGATTTCTCAATAGAGTTGTTCAGAAGTTCCGAAACGTTTCTCACAAAAATAATTATTAAAAGCATCTTTAATTCCAGCAGGAAACTGGACGCGACGGTGAAGAAAGAAACCAAAACTTGGATGAGCCCATTTATGTCAATAGCCCACACAATTATTTGGTTGATGAATAAAACTGAGGAGAGAAGCAAAACACTGGCTGTAAATTGAAGTGAAAATTTCTTCACTCTCTCAAAGTAAAGTTGTTTGTCAAATTCCTGCAAATTTTCGTCTATTTTGTCCATAAGAACGTCAAATGATATCCGCTTGGAATGACTGTGAATTAAGGTGGCAGCCACAAGAATCATGAAAAACTGAAATTTTTTATAAAAAAAATATTAGTTTAAAATAAGTTCTTTTTATTTATACCTGGTAAGCGATTGAAACGACTGTTTGAGCTGCATTTTGTTTGTCATTTTGAAGTGAAGTTATAATGTTTAACAAATATTTTATGTTCCAAAATAACAACATGAAAGAAAAAGTGTAGCAATATGCAAGGTGAAACCATGACGAGTCTTTGTAGGCGATGCCGAAAAATTTCGTCAATAATATTACATGCCTGGCAGCTTTAGAAGTTAAGCCTTTCGTTGAATGCATTGTGCTTCTTTCTGCCTCTCAAGGGCTTTTTTAACAAAGAATATTTTCCGTGAGTCAATAAACATCTCATCAAGGTTATCAATGAGTCTTCCATAAAAATAAGAATAGAAAGCAAATGGATTGCTTGAGTTTCAATCTCATATATAACGAAAACCTGTGCGATTTTTACTATTAAATTTGCATTTCTTCTAATTTCTTGAAAGTGCAACGCATTTCCTGAGGATTGTTGTTTTTGAGTTCAGCAGCACAACCAGCAAAAGTGACAATTTTTTTCTAGCTGTGATGGCAATTTTAAGTAAAATGCAAATTTGTTAGTTTTTATATTAATGGGATCAGATATTTATTTCATCGGACAAAGCAAACAACTGAACGAAAGTTCAGAAATGGAAAAAAAATACCAAGACAATAATCTTCCAGTGATAAATTGTTGAAATTACATTTTCCCAAAAATAACTCGTACAGTTTCATTGAATTTATAAAAATCGTAATATTTTTCACCATCAATTTCTATACTTGGAAGCTAATTTTTAATGCATAATTAGCACCGATTTAACTCGAAGATAAAAATTAAAAATATTAAACGCCATTCAGCTGGTATTCTAGTATGTTAAACTGCAAGGCGGTGACGATATAAGCGACGGTTGCAGCAGCTGACTATAAAGAACAATAAAAATTATTATTTTTTGATGCTTACAAAATTGCGAACCTCGAGTAGAAATTTCTTGTCAAGACAAAACAACCCATACACTGATATTGCACAAAATTTTTCATTCAACAGAGCTCTTGTTCGCAAAATATTAACCTAAATGGAAAAAAAATGAAATTAAACCAATATAAAATACCGATAATTAATTTGTTATGTTTTTAATTTTTTTTTAAATTTACTCTTATGAAGCTCTTTAATGAACTAAGATTTAACACAGAAATTTAATTCAAACTCACTTTTGAATTGCTCATTTCATGGCCCCACAATATTTTACTCGTCCTTTTGAGCTGCATATTTAAAAGTATTGTTACAAATTTGATGTGCAAATATAAATACAAACCTCATCACTTGTTTTGTCACACTGCAAGCACAGATGAGCAATATGGGCAGAGTGGGCCACTACCCAAAATATTATACCTCCTAGAGAGTAAAACGAGAGAATATTGTTTGTCATAATTCCTGCAAATTGTCCAATGACGTAATAGCTACTGGTAAGAATATTTGCGAAGTTCATGGGCAGCGTGAAAATCAAAACGCTCTGAAATTGCCGATTCGTCTTGGCAAGCAGTTCGCACAATTTTAAGTGCGTGTGTAAAAAATCCTCCAACAATAGAATATCACCGGAGGCGCATTTCTCAAGCGAGCCATTTAGAAGCTCCGAAACTTTTCGCACGGAATAAATTATCAACAGAGACTTTACGTCTAAAAAGAAGCCCAAGGCCAGTGTAAGAAAATTAACTGAAACAAATTGAAGTCTGTGCACGTTAATAGCCCATGCGAGTATTTGGTTGGTCAATAAAATTGGTGATACGACCAGAATGCAGATTGTCAAGCGGACAGAAAACTTCTTCACTCTCAAGAAGTATTCTTCTTTGTCAAAATTCTGCAAGTTTTGATCTAATTCATTCACAAGACATTGGAAATTATCACGCTTTAAATGATTGCGGATAGAAGCTGTTGCAACTAGGGTGATGAAAAACTGTGAAAAAAGATATAATAATGATTTTATTTTTATTTTAAAACGTAATTACCTGATAAATGAGTGTAATAAATATTTTAGTGGAATTTTCGAGGTGAGTTTGAAGCATTATCACAAAACTAGTGAAATAGACCACATTGAAAATAGTCAGAGCGAAAGACAAAGCATAGCAATATGCGAGGTGCAGCCAGGATGAATTTTTGTAGGCGATGGCAAAAACTTTTGTCAATAAAATTAAAGGCCTGGCGGCTTCAGACGTTAAACCATTTGTTGATTGCATTGCGTAGTGCTTTTCTCAGTCGGACTTCATTGCTCCTCGTATATTACGAGAGCTGCACTTATATTTTCAATCAATATCACATTTTATAATTAAAATAATTCAATATTCACTTACTTGATTACAAGATATTTACCAATATACTGAAGTATTAAATTCTGATACTTTGATGATGCGTCTTAATATAAAACCAGACAGGGTTTATTTCAAATAACTTAAATATTGTTTGCTACACAAATTTAATCGAGCTTTACAGAATCATCCACCAAAAAAGTACAATCCATGCCTATTCATTTGCTGCTGTTTGTGCAAGAATGTGAAATTGAACTGCAGTGACTATATAAGCGGCAGATGACACGAATCTCTAAATTAATCCGCATTAAATTCGATTAAATGTATTTAATTATTTAAAATACCTCAGCCAGGAGAGGCATTCCGACTGCATACAAACCATAAATTGAAAAGCTGCACTTGCTATTTTGGAGGGATTTGTGCCGAAACAATCTGATCTATTAACAATTAAAAAAAAAATTACAAAAAATCAAATGACAAATAATCAAACCTCTCGAATTTTATTTTCTTCTGATTCAGCTGATTCAAGTTGGTATATAAGCGCGCTTGTTTTGATTGCCTGAAATTGACAGTAAATTTTGCATTAATTTTTTAATTGGAATCAAATATTTCCAACCTCAGAAGTGGCCTTTTCGCACTGTACGCAGAGCAGAATGAAATGCATAGAAGAAGAAAGGGCTAAAATAGTTGCTCCGAGACCTTGCAAATATGCATTTTTGAAATAGCCGTCGGCCATTAAACCCGTCACAATCAAAATAAAATAGTATACAGCGATCAGAAAACTGGCAAAGTTCATTTGTAGAGAAAAAAACAAAGTGCTGCAAAATATTAAATTCGTCTTCTCAATCAATTCACACAAGGATCCATGCATATTTGTGAGTCTTTCTAGCTCAACTATGTCTCTTGCATCTTGAATTTTCTTATTAATGCTTCGAAAAATTCGCTGAATTGAGAAGACGATAATCAGGAAAATGGAATCCACGAACCGGTTCATGAATGTAACGGCGCAATTAGGAATGAGATAAATCATTTCGTCAGTGCTTTCAGTCCAAAAGAAATATTCCTCCATCAGGTAGAGACAGGACGATATCGAGGCATAAAATATTAACAGGTGGCTACGCTTTCTAACCGCCTTCTGTATGTAGATGTCTATATTTTCAGAAAGAGGTGCAAATACCAACTTGCAATTTACAAATTTAAAATTGAAAAGTACTACATTGACGCACAGAAGCAACAAGCTGACCTAAAATATAATAGACGTAAAGATTATAAGTTAGTGCACAAGTAAAATATAAAAATTTTCTTACTTGGTAAATCATGTTAATAAAAGACATGGCACCATTTTCTCTGGTTGTTTCCAGCCATAAATAAAAGTACCAATAATTTTTCCCCGTCAAAATTATAATTATAGCACCGAAACAAGTGCAAAAAATTAAATGCAGCCGACTTGAATTTGGTGATGAAATTCCACAAACACTAGCTGAAAAGAACACGGGCCACGCGAGAGTGTAAAATAAGTCTTGACTCTTTGCGGTTTCCATGTTTTAATATAAGAAAAATATTCCCAAGTCTTGTCTGATTGTAATGCAAGCGTATATTTCTTTGGTCTTGGGTCTCTGTTACCTTACACACGTTGCCAGATCAATTTTGTTGGCACTCAAATTCAATCAAATTAGGAAATTATCCATTATCAAGATTGGAAAATATAGAGGGAGCTTTTATTAATGACCTTTCAATCATTATTCACATTACTTATTGTCCCAGGACGATAGAGATCGCTTGCTCGCTATTTTTTTAACTCATTAAAATTGTGGAAAAATTTTTATTTTTGCATAATTATTTAAATGTTCCCCCCCCCCATTAATTAATTCTTTTGTATTATTAAAATGTTACTTAACAATTGGACACAAAAAAATTACTGAAACGTGCAGATAGCAGTGGCGACGAATAAATACAATGCATTTTGCCACGAAAATAGCCTTTACCTGAAAACTGAAAAACCAACCAAAAAATAATGTAGTCTTCTCTCGACCGCCGCCGAGTAACTACGGCACAGGGTGAAAATCCAACTATTATTCTATTCACTTTGGTATCCATTG